GATTTTCAACACAAAATAACTGAATATTTTTTTATGTTACAACTTGGCATTGGAATAGTTCTAATATAGATCAAAATAATTCTAAAACTGCTTTAGAATTTTTAGTATTGATACTTCAGATCTAATACTAGTTTCAGTATCTGAGTACTGATACTTTTGACAATCCAAATGGCTCCTAAAAACCACAAAACTCTAAACCACAATAGGCCTGTTAGAATAAATACTCTATTGACTTATCGTTCAATATATGAAAAATGGAACAATTATTTTTTGGGGTGTCTATATTTATCATGGGTACATTTCTTTGTACTTTTTATGGGGAACATTTTGTCATTTTTCTGTACTATGATGAGCTTTGAGTGGTAAAGGGCTGAATAAAGCACTGGTATGACTTACTATACCTCAAAACTAGATTAAGTGTTAATAATTTATAGATTTTTCGGGGGATAATTCTGCTTTAGCGTTACTAAGTCAGTGGCATAATTTATTTTCAGTATTATCATTTATCATCTATGTAGCCTTAAAGAGCAGAGATTCAAAGGTTGCTGAAATCACCAAATAGCCCTACATACACGCCCATAATGTTCTCTGTACGGCGTGGTTTATATCTCTCACAGTACACAGACAGAGATGCTGCGCTCATGCCTGATTTCCTCTCTGCATCTCTGACCTACTTTTGTCATCGCTCCTCACACAGCCTCCCATCTCTTACCCTCCCTCTCTTTCTCTATCCCTCACTTCCTCTGTCTCTCTCTCTCTCTCTCTCTCCAGACTTCCTCCACCTTTCAAACCAGGCTGGAGGTGGTCGGCTGCCATTTTGCCCTGCATCACGATACTACTAGACTTGCCTTGCAGCCTCTTCACATGGCCTAGACATTGTCACATTGCAGGAATAGTTTCTGCCTTTGTTTTCATAACTTCAGGATGTCAAACACACACCTATTTACCTTCACCATCCTGGCATATTTGACTAAGAACTATTCAACAATTTAGCTGTTTAATAGCTGAAGTAAAAACACCCTAAATCACAAAATTATTTTATGATTGGTTGGTTTTATGGTTATAGTTGCAATGTAAATTATTTTTTAAATGACAAACTGAATTCAAATTTGTAATTTCAATACTTCACATATCACTTTTACTGCAGTGATACTGTAGTTTTTAAGTTAGCAGTTTAATAGCTCTGGTATAAACATTTGAAATCCCACCAGTCATATTTTTCACCTAGGACCCATTTCTTCAATACTTTACAAAGATGTGAGTCATCGGTGACTCTCCCAGCTTTCACATGGGTGTGATTGACTGGTGGATTAGCCAATCAGGGGCATGCATGGTTTGTCAATACTGGAAAAAAAATATCACAGGGAACTGAAAAACATTGTGGATTTCTGCAGAATCAGAGAGAGAGTGAAGCACTAAACTAATTAATCTGAGCTGAGAGATATTTGATTTTATTTGTAAATGATGAGTGACCACTGATAAAGGGGTATCTGATCACAATCATGAGGTATGGAGACCAGACCGATATCAATCTGTATAAAACATACAGAGAGAGGTCATTCTGGATTTGCCAGTCAATACAATTTTAGATTATAGTTGAAAGATAATTATATCTTTTAAATGCATTCAATTTGTAATTTCAACATACCACATATCACACTGAGTACATGTTTACTCTGATAATGTCTTAAAACTTGAATTAAGAGTTAGCCCTGTCATAAACACTTGCCGTTGTTGTCAGTTGTAGTTCATTCTATAGTGTCACTTCAGCATCCCGGATATGAGTAATGGCACGGTGTTGTCATGGAGATCTTAAAGTAACGACAGCGATGCTCCGGCTGCTCATTGTGTACATAAGACCTTAGGCTATATCTCTCTCTCTCTCTCTCTCTCTCTCTCACACACACACACACACACACACACAAACACACCCCTCCTCCAGCGTCTCCAGACCTGGATGAGGGCTATTGGCGCAATGATCCAAGCGTCTCAATCAGCATGGTGCCAATTAAAGGCACACAAGAATGCACGAGAAGAGGTTTAAAGCCCACCGTGGCATTTCTTCTCTGTTGTTAACAAGACTACGTCAGCCAAAAAACGTGGACTAAAGACATGAAGGCTTTTGAGTTCCTGCATGTTTAAAGTCCAAATGTACGTTGTATTTTGGTTACTAAGATTGTATCATACATGTTTTGTTTACTAGTTAATCTCAAGTGAAGTGTCATTTTCTGCTACTGAGATTTTTAAAATGCATTTATAGTTAGATAAAGGTATATTTATGCTGACTGAGCATATCATCTGGTGAAAAAGGTTTTCTATAAATCACTGCAGACTAGAAGACAGAAAAGAAGTACCTACAAATTGGTATTTATGTTTTTGTAATGTATAGCTCAATATTTGAAAAATTAAGGTGGTTATAGTCACTTAAAAAAATGTAATAATCGCAAACATGGCAATAGAGCATTCCCACACTAAACTGACCAATGTAAATTTAACAAGTTTATAGGATGAAGTAGGAAAAAAAACACAGTAATTACAAACACTACTGCAATCAATTTCTACAAAAGACTCACTTTTTGCAAACATGGCAACTTAAGGCCGTGGTTCAGAGCCGGAGCAGGTCAATAAATAACATAAACGTCCACTTTAGAGACTCAGCTCGACTGATGTTTTGGGTTTTGCCAGCCTAAGCCCTCTCTCCAAAACCAGGCTGAATGAATGCGGTCACTTCTGGACCAGAGCCTTCATGAGCCAACAGTCTGTGCTAAGTGGAGCACTCAGTGGATTCATTTCATAATGCTTTGGGCTCTGGGATGGTCCATTCAAATTTATGAGGGAATAAAGTTAGCAGCCAAAGTGAAAGCTTTCAAGAGTAATAAACCAACCATGTAAATGTTCATACTTGTGTGTGAAGTATATGTTCACAAATAATGGCGCATCATCAGTATTATTAATGGCATCCACATGAAAACCACCTGCATTCCTTTATGCAAAAGTAATAAAAATAAACATGAGTTATGTACATTTTTTGGATATGCCACCTGCTTGTCTTCATGGAGATGCAAATATATTGACTAGACTGTTTGCTGTATTTAAATGTTTCAATCTTGCATTTATTTAATTACAGATGTTTAAACTGCTAAGTAATATCTTAAAAAGCATGCATCATTACTGTGAGCATAGTTACCTCTCCACAGATCTAACTTGTAACTTGTCACCTGTGAGTCTCCATGGATAGATTGTGTCATTCTGTAAAACAATCCAATAATCTCCAAGTAGTAAAACCTCCTCCAGAAAAGTTGCATAGTGCATTATTAAAGTATGGACTGCATAGTAGGAACTGAACTGCCACCTTGCAATTAGTCCTCCATTTTTACTGGATGAAACTGGGCCACTCAGGGCATGCCATGGCACACAAAAACTTGTAAGTATATGTTGACATAATAGTTAAGTATGTCTTTGAAGCTATAGATAGCAAATACAGTCTACACGCTAAGTCTGTTATTGTAGTGTTTTGCCAGATACATATTTCTGTAGATTCAGCAGCTCTTCAGGAGGGAGGGGCCCATCTCGACCAGCTCTCCTAACAACACATTGAGTACAGCAGCATGCCACAGAGCTCTGCGCTAACTTGCACTAGGCCAAAATTAAGCTTCTGATCTTATCAAACCGATCAAAAACGACGCTTAGAGTCCTATTTTCATTTCAGTCTTGTCAGCGCGGAATGACTCCCAGCTGCGGTTACAGACTACAACATGCCCGTCTCCCTCTTAGTGCAAAAAATCAATGTCACAAGTAAGCGCTCTTGTTCCCACGAGTACTGGAGGCGAGAGAGGTGTGTCCAAGCATTGAAGGAAGATGCCCAACTCAGTCCATTTTAGTTAATCCACCCATTCACTCAAACAAACAAACAGCGTTAATTTACTATAGCCTGTAGCAGATTTGGGCCCCGCTTTGTTGCATTTGGAGCGGAGCGTGCTGTTGGGTTTAGTGCGTCCATCTACACCTAGGCCTGTAGCCGGGATCTAGTTGTGTCCACTGACCTAGGGAGGATTACTGGAGATCCCGTATGTGTCAGATAAGCGGGCTGCTGCTGCTTCCACCGCTTCTAGTCGGTGGTTGTGGGAGGAAAACGCTCTCTGCGCGCCACTGTTGCTCAATTGAAAAATGGGCTTGGCATTTGCGCACAGTCGCCGCATCACTGCTAACGTTTGACAGCTCGTATTTAAATAATAGAACAGTAAGAACATAGCTACGAGCACAATTAAAGCGTTATACTGGGTTATTGCATTGCTATGGAGAGAGATAAAAGCATTGTCTTTTAAACAAGGCGGGCACAGCTATGAGTAAAGCAATTTAGGCCCCTATAAGCGAAAGATCCAGAACAAGAGAGCAGGGGAAAACATGCTACAAGTCTTGCACTATCACCAAGGCTAAAGCACCCAGCGATAAGAGGTGATAACAACGGCAATAACGTTGCATTGTGTCTCTTCGGGGAGCCACCAATAAGATTAGAAATGGACTATTGTGTCCGATTAAGCTTGTTACAACGTGACATCATGTGATAGAGAAGATGAACCTGCTCCTGAGATGAGGGGAGCTACAGGGATGGAGACATTTTGATGGAAAATGGAGAGAATTGTACACTGTGTCGTTTATGTAAATGTGAGTCTGCCTCGGCGTGTCTGCTGTGATGGCTGCAACAAAAACACAAAAAGGGAACAGAGATGCAAAAACGTGCAGGCTAAACGCGACAGGGACCTCGACGTGCAAAGCTAAATGATGTAATACACGTCGTCCATTCAATGTAATTTCTATAGAGACTCACACAGGCCCAACCTCTCCCACCTCATGCAGAAAATATTAGGTGACAAGACGAAATGCCGATGGAGAATACGACGCAGCGGGTCGTCTTCACGCCAGGGGAAGTTTGCGGTATTCAGAGTCGGATGCATGAGTCGAGTAGAGGTAAATAAGTCTGAAAATAGCGCATTTCTTACCTGAGAACAGACAGCGGTGTTGTGTCTTCAGCGGCAGTCGCTCACCGGCGCACACACAGCTCGTTCGCGCAGTTCACCCGCAGGCCACTAGGCGGAGCGCAAGAGACGAGACGAGGCGACAGGAGGAGAGGGGGGAGTGAGGAGGCGGAGGGTGCTCAGAAATGCAACCTGTCTGCTTCACACACTCCCTGGTGAAAAGAGGGGCAAAACATCTGGCTTCTTGTGTTAAGTTTTATGAGCGAAGAAGAGCTAAAATTCCCCATACGTGATGACGTAGAACACTGACGTAAAAGCACCATAAAGAAAAACAAACACTGTTCTTTACAGCGCTACATTATAGGTTGAACCAGTAAAACTTTGATGAACTTTGACCAGTAAAGATTTGGAATAATTTTACCTAGAATTTAACCCTAACCCAGCAAAGAATTTTGACCTTCTAATTAGCCACTGATAAAAGGCTTTTATGAAGACTATGTGCCTAACAGAATAATAAAATAGGTCTATAAACTTAGGGTGACCAGACGTCCCTCTTTACTGGGACAGTCTCAGTTTTAAGCTCTGTGTTCCCTCTCCCAGCAGATTTATCCGGAAACCAGTGATTTGTCCCAGATTTATGCAAGAAAAGTCCCAGGTGTCCCTATTTTAAACCTGCCAACAGTAAAGAGAGGCATAAATTGTCATTTGTTTAGGTAAAACACAGAAAAGCTACTTAAAAATGACCAAAACACAAAGAAAATTTGACTATACTGACTAACATTAGGGCCGAGTGCAGAACAATTTTCCTTAATTATACATTTGTTTTAGTTTTATTACTAACAGCCAACTCAAACCAGGGATGTCCCAGTTTTTTATTTTGAAAATCTGGTCACCCTACTGTAAACCGCTGTATTTATGTGCTAGGAAAGTAATGTACAGTACTTCTTTTGTTACCAATTAAAGCCACAATATGTAACCTTTTAGGCAAAAAATGGTTGTGATTATAAAACAGCTCATCTTAGTGGGCCTGCATCTCCACAAACCTTACTCTAATTTGGCCTTGCTTGTTTCTATGGAAATGCTTTTCCTTTGGCTATAATATTTCAAATTGTGGCATTATCTTTCTCCTTATAGGGAGTGTTCACAAGTATGATTTTAACTTTCTATTTTCATTGAATTATGCACTTGCCACCTCCAGAAAGTTACATAGGATACTTTACCTTTAAGTAGGCCATATATATATATATATATATATATATATATATATATATATATATATATATATATATATATATATATATATATATATATATATATATATATATATATATATATATATTAAAATTATTAGTAGCCGGTTTTAAAGTTGTAAAATGCTGATTAAGAGACTGAGCACTACTGTAGAGTCTGGTGCAGTGCAGTGAACACAGCAAAGGGGTCAGGTCTTGGCACCAGGCAAACAGTAGAGTCTGTGTCACTCCTCTCCCTATCACAGCCTGTGCCAAGTTTTACACAGAGTCGAGAAACCACAGGGCAACAGCAGTGGGAATACTGACAGACAGATCACCTTCGAGAATGCTCCATTTTGACAACAAAGAACTTTATGGTTAATAATTTTGCAGCAGCTGCCAGTTGCTGTATGGGCAAAGGCATGGTGTGGTTTCAAGACATATGAGCTCTCCTCAAACCAGAACCAGAAGCAGGCAATAGCTGTTTCTTTCCCAAGGATGTAGTTACATATGTGACAGAGTAAATGTGGATGAAAGATGTAATGAAACACATAATTTTAAACTGGAGGGAATCAGTGCATTTTAGTAAAGTTAAACTAAGCTAAGACATTCTGAGATATGAATCCAGATAAAAATGCTACTCAAAACACCTATTTGGCTACTTATGTTGGTTTGAAGCTACTGATGGTTTTCAGATTCTATTATGTGTTGTGTAAATGTGTTAGAATGATGTCATAAGCCCAGATGGTTTTCCTATTGATCACATTATAGTTTACCATGCATGAATGTTGAATCTGATCCATTTCTATTATTGATTAGACCCAAGAACTCGCTGTATTACAACATCTGCATTAAAAAAAAAAATGCATTTACCTGCCTATAGAATGTTGTGATGTCCTCTGAACCATCAGACACGTTTATCACCAGAGCAGTGCGGAACCACATCCTCTGGTGAAGTCATCTGCTCCATAAATATTACATTAGTTGCTGTGATTGGGGAATTGATTTAACAATTTAAAACTGATCTACACTCTTATTGATATTTTGTAGTGACATTACGCTGGGGTAGGGTGACCACATTTTCAAAATAAAATAAAAAAACTAGGATATCCCTGGTTTGGGTTGGTTGGTAATAATAAAAATGTAAAACGAGTGCGTAATTGAAGAAAACTGTTCTGCACTTGGCACTAATGTGAGTCAGTACAGTCATATTTTCTTTGTGTTTTTGTAATTTTTAAGCAGCTTTTCTGAATTTTACCTAAACAAATGACAAATTATGAAACTCTTTACTGCTGGCTGGGATCAGATTGGTCAAAAATAGAGACACCTGGGACATTTCTTGTATAAAACTGGGACAAATCACTGGTTTTCAAATCACAAACCACGTCAAATTACTGGGACAAATAACTAGGGCTCAAAACTGGGACTGTCCCAGGTAAATAGGGACATCTGGTCACTTTACACTGGGGGGGTTCAGTGTCTAGACCTAGCTCTATATCTATATTTATCAGTTATCGATGTGACACAATGCACACATTACCAAACACTGTCAAAAAGATAATCTGAAAACACAAGAAAAATGGATTTAAACAACACAAAATGGATTGAAACAACACATTTTCATGAGCTTGTGTCAATCCTTTATGGTTAGATTTTAAAAAAGCATCACACTCTCAGGGAATGTTGGCATGACATTAGTTACAAAGTTTCAATTATAGTCATATATCCTACCACTACTCCAACAACAGCCCCCAACAATAATAACACAAATATCATCACAACAGCACATTTTCATCTATTGCTCATCTAAGTATAGCTTGCAATGTCTGACTGTAAAATGTAAATATAGTGTATACATTTGTAATGTTTTGAAAAAGCAGTTTGAGCATGTTATTTGACTTACATGATTTATGGAGAGGGGAATATACTGGATTTCCCCTCTGTGTTGTTGTTAGCGTGTGTTCTCCAAAAAATGTCAAACAGTTTAGACTTCTGTATTTGTATCTCGACCCATGTCTCTGCTTGGTCACACACTGTGGCTTTGAAGAAATACCACCAGAGGAAAAATGCTGACCACACCAAAAGCCGGGTCCAGTTTTTAGGAGATGATATCAGTGATGTGAATGAGCAAGACACTCCTCTGCTCAGAAGGGACTGTGAGGTCAGGCAATTCCCCCGACATCAGCTCTATTTACGTCAATGGTAAGTGATTCTGACCCAAACACAATTAATCATATTGAAATTCAAGCTTTGCAGTAAAAATCTGCAGACAGACCTTAAAACAATTGTAATTTGTGTTTGTACGTGTGGTTCTTTTCTAGTAACTTTGGCTACAGACAATTTGTACTACAGTCCTACCTGCCATGGTCGCATTTAACGCTAGGGGGAGCTATTGCAGAATAATACGTATTTTGGTTCTGATTGTCTTTTTTCCAAGTTGTGCGTCATAGTAACATTGCTTAAAACTCTTAAAGTGTTAAAACATTATCACAAGTTGAACAGATCTTAGGTCTTACCGTCTGTCTGCATGGCTGGGCCCACACCACTTATCAAAAATGATAGAGGGGCAACCTTTTGCACCCTACACTTGAATCTTTGAGTGGTTTGTATGATCAAGAATGTCACACAGACTCACAGGCGTTTGCTATTATGGGAAAACTACTTGCCTGGGATCCAAAATACAGTACACACTTACCCAAAACTTAAAAAATACAGAGAGATATCATTCTGGACTTGCTTGGTCTGATTAACGACTACTGTAATACTATTGCTCTCTACCGCTCTCTACAGGTCACGGTTTATCCCACACTCGTCAAATCCTCAGTCCTGTTTGCTCCCAGGACTTGTTTGGAGCGTGTCCAAGTCTCCGCCAGGAACCAGGGGTCTCGGAGGGAGGTAGTTAATTCACACTTTCTGTATCTCTCTGTGGTTGGCAGTGGACATCATTACGTAAATCATACCTTCAAACCTCCATGTTCCAACAGGGTTTTACTGTCACCTTATTGACATTTTATACTTTATCTATACGTTAAAGCCAAGAGAATTGCTTGTTGTGTGGTACTAGTCTTTTCTCAGGTGCAAAACGACAAGCCTGACATTATGACTTTCATTGTCTGTGGTCTGGTGTGAGAAAGCTTTAAAAAAAATCCTTATTATTGGTCTGTCTACATGTCTAAAGCTCAGAATGCTCTGTGGTGTTATGAAGTGGTAGTTTACAAGTTAACAGCTACCTTTTCAGTTCAGAGTTTTAAAACACAGTGGAGCACGTCCTGTATTACCACATGACATCACCAGGTAGAAGGAGTGTTTTCTACTTGAGAGTAGAACTCAGTTTAAATTTGCAGGGTTTGTTAGTGATGAGGAAACAACATTATAACATAGATGAGAAAGTAGTTTAATATGTGTCCTAATTATTGTCTCTCCCCGTATCATGTGTGTCCATTAAAACAAGAATAAAACTTTTAATTACAGGTGGATGTTACATGGACCACAGATGAAGAGGTTGGTTTTCATCCTCTCAACAGATCTTGACACCAGGATGACCTCTAGCGCTCAATACATGCCACTGCATCTGTAAGTCTTTTATCAGCTGCAAATGTTATCACCACACTTAAATCAAGCAGTAGACAAAGTCCGTTTGAGGATGATAAATATCTTATCTTTCATCCTTTGTTGTTAAGAAGTCAGAATATCAACTAGGTTGCTACTACTACTACTACTACTACTACTACTACTACTACTACTACTACTACTACTACTATTTACTATAACTATGTATACCAGAGGTGGGAACTTGCAAGTTGTGTCTTGGACTCAAGTCAGACCTGAGTCACTATTTTTAGGACTTGAGACTTGACTTGATAAAACTGACTTAAGACTTGGAATTTGACTCGGACTTGAGGCCTGTGATTTGAGAAGGCCTGTGATTTGAGAAGACATTTAAAAAGGAAACATTTAACATTTCTACAACTCTTACATACTCTATAAATACTCATATATAAATATACTATGATTTTTAAAGTACAATTTAGTTTAAAATTCATATAAATTGCAAAAATCTAAGCTCTATTTGGTACTTTGGTTTAAAGACTTGAAATGATTTGAAGCTCAAAGCAGATGATATGGACTTGACTTGGACTTATGGGCCAGTGACTCAAGACTTGACTTGGACTTGCCTGTGTTTGACTTGGGACTTGACTCGGACTTGAGATCAAAGACTTGAGACTTACTTGAGACTTGCAAAACAACGACTTGGTCCCATGTGTGAGATATACTATAACTACTATTACCCCTACTACCACTGCTCCTAAATCAGCTTCTTGAAATTTGGATTGCATAGTGAGTATTGTGTAAAAAAGTAAAAAGTATTTGGCACTTGTGTGTTAGTGTGTATTTTAGATATCCCTGATTGTTGCCCTTTTGTAGACTTCAGTTGGTCTGATTATGTCAAATTTTAGTTACTGTTTTTGTTTAACACTTAGTTTAAAGTCAGGTTGTTTTACCCCTGGTTTAGTTATGGTTTTACACAAAAGTTAGACCTGGTTTAGTCCGAATCCAGTCTCTATCCCGTCGTAGCACTATTAAAGCCAATCGTAGCATCATGTAGTACTTGACATGACGCTTTAAAGCTAAAGAAACACGTTCTTTCCCTCTTTTGCAGTGTACATAACCCTAGTCAACCTCACAGTGAACTTAATATCCTTTGTTAACCCTTTATTGAATCTTGCCCTAAGTCCTCTTGTAATGCACTTGCGTTTAAAGTGCACACACTGACCACATGCTGAACAGTCCAAGATGTGTTGGTCTTCAGAATGGGAGGAGTTAATCCAAGGGTCTCTAAGGAAGAAAAGCAGAGAATCCCTCCCTCCATTTCTCTGCTCTCTGAATGGTCTAACTCTTTGGTTCACAGGGCACCCTCCCCCCTGCCTGCACCAGCACATGGATATGTTGTCTTTGCCTTATATAGACCAGACTTACCTCGTGGACAGCACTGGGACAGCTAGTTTAGCCAGCTTTTCTATCTACTAGTTAACTCATTTAACATTAACTACATTTCTATTGTGCATCTTTGCAGAGAATTGTCAAAATGAATGGGAATTGCGAGCCTTCCCATGCGGATGTGGACTTTATGTTTACTTCTGAGTCTGTGGGAGAAGGGCATCCGGGTGAGTGTGAGACCGCGTGTGGTGTACAGAAGATAGTTAATACAAAACAGAAAAGTATTGTTATATAGAGGAAGTGCATAGAGAGGTTCAGACACATGTGTTCACTGAGTTGTTCCATGTGCTGTGATCTTGCATAACTTCATCTCATTTATTGTCACTGAGTTCGAGGAATGTGCAGAATGCAGAGAGCTGGCTGCTTCATTCAAACTTTGGACCACAGTTTTTAAAGTCAAATAAATATATAAAAGTTTAATCATATTACAGAGAAAACTGGATATTTTTGCTCACACTGTACAAATACGAAATCAGAAATTCCACAACAGTACACAGGCTGCTAACAAAACAAATATGTGTTTATGGCTCACAGTCTATAAAAATAAATCTACAACAAATCCATAACAATATTACCAGTACTACTACTACTTCCACCTGTTTTTTTATAGCACTACATTACTGACAATGTTATTTGTGATCCAGATTAATTCATGTTTATTAAAATTGCAACATTTCCTTTAACTTAAACTAGTAAGAGCATGCAAACAAGTCTATAGTATATGAAGACTGAAGCAGTTGTAGTAGTGTCTCAGAGGAGTGGACAGCAGCGGTACTTTGAACATGTGATGGACCTTTGGATCGTGTCACACTGGTATGCACAGAGCATGGCCAGGGCTATACTTAGGGTCATAACGCCACATGGGAATGGTACTAGTACTACTCTCATCAACCTGAAGTGAAATTTGACCATTCAAGACCACGAGATTCAACACTCTATGCACAGCTATAGGTCAACCCAGGAAACCTATTTCACAGATATTTTGCAGATCTTTTTATAACACACTTTTCTTTTTGTAGATAAAATATGTGATCAAATCAGTGATGCTGTGCTAGATGCCCACCTCAAGCAGGATCCAGACGCAAAAGTGGCCTGTGGTTAGTTCAAAGTTCCACACAAGCATTATTTTTTTTATATTTTAATGTCTAGATAATGGCACAAATGTTAATAATTATTTTTGTGCAATATAGAGACAGTGTGTAAGACAGGCATGGTGCTGCTCTGTGGTGAAATCACATCTCGAGCCCATGTTGACTACCAGAAAATTGTGAGAGATACCATCAGACACATCGGCTATGACAACTCTGAAAAGGGTTTGTATGTTTTCATCTGTGTTATGTTTACTGACTTACTATTTTTAAAATGTGAATCCAATTCTGGGCTTTTATTTTGAAATGCTTATTCTACTGGTGCAGGTTTTGACTATAAAACCTGCAATGTGCTGGTGGCTCTGGAGGAGCAGTCCCCTGATATCGCACAAGGAGTTCACATCGACCGCTCAGAGAGTGACATTGGAGCAGGAGACCAGGTCATTTTATTTAAATAAAAGAAATTATTGAATGAATTTGGTGTCAGAAATAATTGTTGTTTGATCTTCTTATGTAAACAGGGCCTAATGTTTGGATACGCTACAGATGAGACAGAGGAGTGCATGCCCCTCACTATTGTCCTGGCGCACAAACTGAACTCCAAAATGGCCGAACTGAGACGCAACGGGACAGTGCCCTGGCTCCGACCTGACTCCAAAACACAGGTGTTTAATATGAAGCAGTTTGAGTGATAGACATGGGGCTGAAATCTGATATTTTTATGAGACTTGATAACTTTTACCTCTGTTGATGTTCAGGTGACAGTTCACTACACCCAGCAGGACGGGGCGGTTATCCCCAAAAGAGTCCACACCATTGTGATCTCAGTCCAACATGATGACTATGTGAGTCTGGAGGAGCAGAAGCAGGTCCTGAAGGATAAGGTGATCAAAGCGGTGGTCCCGGCCAAATACCTGGACCAGGACACCATCTACCACCTGCAGCCCAGCGGCCGCTTTGTCATCGGCGGACCACAGGTAAAGGCCTTGTGAGGATAAAGTCCATAAGACAATTATCCAATTAGAGACACATAGGTGCTGTTTACAGACTGTATCTAGAGGTTAATCTGTAAATCTGTACTATCTCTCAGTTGTAAATCCTCAAACCTATCAACAGAAGGCATAGCACATTCACATATATTATTTTTATATCAAAATGACTTACCTGTGTTTTGTAGGGCGACGCAGGTGTGACTGGGAGAAAGATCATTGTGGACACATATGGAGGCTGGGGGGCTCACGGCGGAGGGGCCTTCTCTGGGAAGGACTACACCAAAGTAGACCGGTCTGCAGCCTATGCTGCCCGCTGGGTCGCTAAATCTCTGGTTAAAGCCAAACTCTGCAGGAGGGTCCTAGTTCAGGTACAGAAATATGTCATTGTCATATGTCAATAGTTAATTCAAAATAATAGTTTTGAAGAAAGAAGAATTCAACAGGATTTATATGCTGCATTTACATTTGACTTGCATCAATAAAATATGTTTAAAATATACCATTATCAGGTGGCCTATGCCATCGGAGTGGCCCATCCTCTGTCCATCTCTCTGTTCACCTTCGGCTCATCTCAGAAAACTGAGAAGGAGCTGCTGCAGATTGTTCACAAAAACTTTGACCTGAGACCTGGAGTCATTGTCAGGTGAGACACAGTTTTTTCAACCTTTAACCAAAGTAATATTGGTGTAAAACTAAGCAAATATCTGCTATAGATTATGTACAATTTAGATGCTTGATTCTGAAATGTCCAGAATCTGTTATTAGTAAAGAAATATCTGTATAAAGCTTTGAACATTAACTTTTGCAACGTTTTTGCTTTGTTTTTTATTTACTGTGGTGCATTAGGGACCTGGACTTGAAGAGGCCGATCTACCAAAAAACAGCCAGTTACGGTCATTTTGGGAGAAAGGACTTCCCCTGGGAGGTGCCGAAGAACCTGGTGTACTAAAAAGTGCATGTGCGCATGCTACTGTACTGTAAACAGATCTGTGTAACCCAGTACGGGGCAGCTGCAGTGGACAGTGGGATGGGTGCAGGGTACTGGACAGGTCTGAGGCGGTTTTAGGAGCGAATGAGGTGTCATCTTTTATTTATGACTTTCCCTGATGATCAGTGGCAACAAGAAATCTGAGCACTACCAGATTTTTGTGACGAGAAAGGTAGATCCCATGCATGCAGTTTGTTCAAATTTAGGCTATGAGAAAGTTGTTTTGCAGATGGTGCACGGCTGTGACCAAAATCCAAGTTAGCCATTCTAATTCTGATAAAACATGCTCTCACTGGTCATATTATTAGGTACACCAGATGCCTTAATGCTGCAATGCCTTATTTAAATTGCAAATCACATGGTAGTAACTTAATACATTTACTTAAAGGTGCATTGTGTAACTTTTCTGGTGAAGGGTCCACCAAATGCTTTTCTCCATGAAGATGTTATTGTTTTGTCTGGAATGTTTCACAGTATGGCATTAAGCCTTTCTACTTTCATGGAGACCAAACCAGACCCAGTAACTGGACAGATCGGTGTCAGAATGCCTGTTTGTCTTGGTATTTTTGAGCTATAAAAACACCTGTAATTTAATAAATGTAAAGTAAGGTTGTTTAATGTCATACAGTAGAACATTCCAGGCAGAACAATGACATATACACAGGAACAAGCAGAGACAGACCACAACCAAAAATTAATATAGTGCACCTTAAATTTGAAAGGTAAACCTGCAAAATTTCACTGAAGAGGCGCCCATTGGGCAGCAGTTCTGTGACAAATATATGAAAATAAGATTCCATAGTCCAGACAATGAGTTAGCTATTAACAAATAAATCTAACCTAATAAAATGGCCAAATGAGGGCTGCATGAATATGCAACATAGTTTATAGTCCACTCAAAAAAAGTCTTAATTGCAGATTGATGAGTTTTGCTTCCAAAGTTGATGATTTTTTTTTTTTTTTTTGTATTTCTTTATAATTTTAGAGCTTGTGAAGCCTAAATGAAATGTAGTTTACTAAACAACACATGAGGCATTATGTAAATATGACTTTTGATCAATAAATGTTTTATTAAGAAAGTATTACAATTCTGTTTGGATGTACATGTATATATATATATATATATATATATATATATATATATATATATATATATATATATATATATATATATATATATATTTGTATTATTACGTACAATATTTTCACTTTGTGGAAATATATTCTGTAAATAATCAAATATACCATAATATATCCCATTTTATACTAAATTTGTTCCCATAAGGCATATGTCCTACATGTCAACAAAACACATAAAAATACATCTTAAACGGCATAAAATAATTGAATATTTGTATAGCATTTTGGTTCTAAACACAGACATATTTAAAATAAATGCCCTTTTTGGTCACCTACTGTCTCAATAACAACTATACTTCAATGTATTTACAGTAAGGCAGCGTGTGTTGGAGGAGCACTACTCCAAAGAGAGGCAGAACTAAACTATAGATACTTAATATTACTATCCCCCCCAAAAAACTGTATCAGAAATACATCATAGGGATTAAAATACAACAACCACAGTACTTTTGTGGTCCCTTTGGTAGAAAATATTTGGCCGTAACATTTGAGGTAAAAGTACTTGAACTCACAAACTTCCTGAGATCAAAACAATGCAGGGTTTGTCCACTGACCATCCACGCATGCACAGGCACGTACGACCACATCTGAGGCACGTTCAGTAACATAAACAGGCAGCTTTGGCTTTATACACACTTAATATTACATAATTACAGTAAAAACCAACCATGCAAGTCAACATCCGTCAAGCAGTCATAAGATTGTGACAAACTGCTCAGTATTTGCAGTTATCAAGATGTTACACCAAGCTGCCTTTAATACAGACCCAGACACTTAAAACACATAGAACTGAATGTTGTTTGTAGCACCCTTTGAAATTAGATTTTTTTCCCACCAACAATCACAGCAAATCTTTTCTGATTCTTAACTTTTTCTGTCTACTGGATTTGACCGCATGATCCAGCCATAGCGGTTCATGTGCCTCCCCCCATACTGGTCCACTAAAGTTTTAGAAATGCTCGGAATCACATTCAGCCATCAGCTTAAACACTGCACTATGTAACTTTTCCAGTCTCTCACTTGCTTGTTTCTATGGATATGCCATTGCTCTGCCTGGAATGTTCCACAGTATGACATGAAACATGTGTTTTAATGCTCCAGAATATCCAGCAAAACAGGCCTTCTAACTATGAGCGGGGTTGCCTCTGCACAGATCTGACCTGTAACTTGGTCAGGTTTGGTCTCCATGAAGATAGAAACGTTAAATGCCATACTGTGAAACATTCCAGACAAACCAATAACATCTCCACAGAAAAAAGCATTTGACAGACACTCCATGAGAAACGTTACACAAGAATCAAATGCTTTCTTGCTGCAACAATTTACACCACAAACTGGTGCCATAATCCTATAGTATTACTCTTGTTTGGTAGTACTCCATCTTGAATAGCAACTCCACTTTGGCCTGCAATACCAGCCATACAAATGGTTCATTAATGGCTTTGGTGTTGTGAGCTGTAGTGCACTTGGTAAAATATATTTTCCAAGCTTGTTTCTTGGGCTTTCACATTGTCCTTATAGCCCTTAAGTGTAGACATAGCCATATTCATTTTCTTACAGCATGGCTAAGGTCTCAGGCGAGTGATGGTTAGCTCCTCCCACTTCTGTCTTGTGGTCCGATATGGGATAGCTTTGCTCTTTGGCTCCTTTAGATAAGACCATGAGCGTGTCCCCTGAAATGTCTGAAAACTCAAAAGCGAAAGTCCCGTAGAACAGCATTATGAGCATACAGTAGACCCACTCAAATATGGCCGATGCGTGTTGAAGTATGAAGCTTTCCTGGCAAAAGAAGACCCCACCTGAACGAAACTGATTAAGAACAACAGCAAAGCAACAGAGGAATGTATTATAGTAAAGAGTGTAAAGTTTTGTATGTCCACTAGAGGGGGACATAACCTAAAACAGTGATTCTCAAACGTCACAGCAGGTAGCCCCTAAGATTAATATTTAGGTTTTCAAGTATTTTCAAGAACTTTTCTATATATAGTATTGTATGTTAAGCCTTGATGAGATGTTTAACACACAAACTCAGGATATTTAGTCCTCTCAAACAGAAAACACTCTGATCCAACGTGTGATGTCATGTGGTAATACAGGAAGCGCACCACTGTGTTTTTAAACTCCATACACCTTCACTAGAATCATTTGGATAATTTCAGTCCTGGGTTTGCAAATCTCTACTGAACTACAGGTAAAAGGTAACTGTTAACTTGAAATCTACCTCTTCATGACATCATAAGGTGGAAAGGTGCATTTTAAGTTTTGGAGATGTAGGCAAACTAATAATAATAAAGGATTACTCAAACATGTGCAAATGAAACAAAAAACAACTCCAGATATGTTTAACAGCATTATACACGACTAAAAGCTCACAAGAGTCAATTTTGCATAATACAGGACCTTAAAGGACAATAATATCTTATCAAATGTTGACTTTCAAGTTTAAGTTTACACTGAGTAAACTTTGCATTTTGTAGATGTGAAAAGGATACTGAGAACAAGAGCGATCAGTGCCAGGAGCGTCATGGCGACTCGTAAATGTCCCGTCCTGTACTCTCCCTGCGTTTTGGCCAGTCTGTACGTCAGAGCCGACTGCAGACACACGAACAGCATACTGCAGGGGAACGCCACCCCAGCCCCCACGTAGTGCAAGACTTTGGCATAGTCCACCTGTACAAGCGAGACACAGAAAGGAGAGAAGTTAGTGTGGTTAACCAAGTTATATCAGTTCCTGTTTGTAATATTTGATTGGCAGGACTGAACAAATTAAACTGCTTCAAGTTTAACAGATTTTTATCCAGAATTCTTAAGTCAAAAATGGTAAGTTAAAGTATTCATAATAAATGCAGATGTTAAAGTAGCCAAGAAAAAAATGTAATTCAGATACTCCTCAATTAAGAGAAAAACAAAATGAGTTGATTACTAAGAAATAGCTTGTACTTGAAAGTTGATCCAAGTTTCCATCAGTTTAGTAAAAAAAACATATGTTTTTGTATTTCACTACTACAAAAACATTTTAAGAAGAACCTCATTAGCAAATTAGCACATTTTGAAAAACACAAAACAAAAACAATGTTGAACCTAAGTGAATTAAATATGTTCCTATTTTGCACATTTAAATATAATTTCTCATCATTTTGTTATGGACAACAGCACGTCGTCAAATGAGAACTTTAGTTTCAGCTTGGTCCAATGAGCTCCTAAAGACTAATCATATCCATTTTCAAGTATCCCTGTAACAAAGTCAAAGTGGACATTACATAATCCACACCCTGTCTAATCCTGTGCTGTCCTAACATAATCTGTCAATTCTCAGAAAAATCAAGCAACACTTTTTTATCTCAACAGTTTGTCATTCATTTCCGAGGCTGGTGGAGGAGCTGAGTCATGGCGTACAGAGGGAGAGTGAGAGAAATCATCGCAGCTGTTTGCAAATAACAGGGGAGACAAAAGACAAGTGTGCGTCCTGATTTAATAGACATCCTCTGTCAGAGCTCCTTTAAGGCCCACAGCAAAGAAAGTGTCAATTATTTAAGGCGTGGAGCTCGGAACAGGATCAGAGTAACAGCCAGTTTTCTACTACATCAATGGGAAAATAGAGCATACTCTCATTAAAGAAGAGCTATTGTGTTTGTGTCTGCTGTATATATACTGTAGTTATAATATATGACAACCATGGATCATTGTGTTATAATTTGCACATTTTAAATCACAGTATTAATCTAAAATAAAAATAAAAAAGCTGACTTCCATGTTTGAAAAATGGGGTGATCAATGATAGTTGATCTTGCCGTAAACATTCAACATCTCCTATGGACAGCTGCACATTAGTGAGAAACAGATTTTTTTTTCATTTGTATCAAAATGACGACGTGATACTGCCAAATCCTATCTGATTAAGAAAACAAAATATAGTGTCTTGACAATAAGGGATTAAAGTTCACTCAAACATGCACAAATCACTCCAAATACAACTTCCGGTGAGTAAACGGTGAGAGGAAACAACTATAAACATGGGTAAAAGCTTTGAAAAGTCAATATTGCATAATAGGTTTGCTTTAAAGATGCACTATGTAACAGTTTTGTAGTGAGGGGATCCTCCACTTACAACCCAAGGAGATTTTATGCTTTGTATGGTATGTGTGCATCTATTCAGTGAGAGTGTACAAAAACACTTAAAAAATTTAAGATACATTGCATCAGGAAGAAAATGCAGAAAATGCTCATTTCCACTTCTAATCCATGGAAAGTAGATGGATACATGACCATATCACCATACAGTATAAACAAATCAAAAAATAAGTAACTAATTCGAACTAAATACTAACTAAGCAGTAACTGAATTGTGTTTTTTTTTTTTTTACTCCCAACTACCAGCATAGACATGGTGTGATCATTTATAGGCCACTAACACAAAACTGGTATCCACAATAAAATAACTACTGAAATAAAGACATATTTATACTTTCTAATCCAAAAACATTTGAGGGCATTTGTGGAAATTTTTAGTTCAGTAGTTTTGCATTACTTCAGCCACATCTTGTATTCCAGAGTCAAAATCAACACTTTATGTTTGGGATGTAAACTTTGGTCTCTGCCTATGTGGTCTGCTATTCAGGTTTGGTTTAAGTTTATACAGAACTGCACCCTCTCCAGGACATTTGCCATGTTTACTCAAAGGGGAAACACTGAGGCTCATTATGTAAGATTTAATGCGGTGTGGGCGGGACTTTACATCAGCCAATGAGAAACCAGAGAAGGATCGGCCCTTAACCATGAGTCCAAAAAACGTACAAAGGACCAGAAAATGAAACAGTTGTGTGCCCCTCGAAATGTGAAGGGCCCCAGATGTGCACAGACAGGCCAAAAGGAACAAGAGACGAAGGCTTTGAGCTGGGCCCCCAGCAACTTTGACCTCAGACACGCAAAGTCAAACAAGCACGCTTACTCACATGTGTGCAGAAATACTGTACTTACCACTGCAAAAAAACTGCTTCCATTCAGAATATGTATACTGATTTCAGGATTGACGGTCTTTAAAAGCATAATATAGGAAAGTATCAAAAATCAGATTCTAAATGGATGGTAAAACTAGTAATGTAAAAGAAAGTACAATGATTTAAAAGCCCATATTCCGCTATTTTGGAGTTGTATTTTGTTTCATTTACACACATTTAACAAACAAACCCTGCATATTTAGGCTGAATTCTCCTCTCACACGGAAAACACTTGCAACACATCTTGCAACAAAACACAACTCTGGGTATGTTTTTGAGGAGGTAACAGCATTGTAACACGTCTTAAAGCTCACAGATTTTTTTTTTTTATTATCATGTGGTATTGGTATTGAGCATCGAGTCCATTCCTTAGTGTCGAAATCGTGTTTGAAATGCAACTTTTTCCAGTGGGGGTTATGGTACCATGAGGGTGTTGATTTTACAGTATTGCATAAAGTCTCACTACAGATCTGCCTCACTACAGATCTGACCTGTAGTTTGACCTGGTGGCTTGCTTGTTTCCATGGAGATAGATAAGTTTAATGCCATACTGTGGAAAGCGTTAAGCATCGTGACCCTCCACCAGAAAAGATAAGCACCTTTCTCAGTTGTTTAGCTGACTGGTCAAGATTTTGGACTTGCTTATGGTGTGCACTGTTTTACAATAACTAAAATTTCTCACTCTACTGGTAGATATTCAGTCCTGAAATTACAATTAAAATACATTGAAAGTTTCCAGTCTGAACAAGAATTTGTCAAAACCACTCATTTCAAACCATTAGTCCACATGTGGTGTTGTTTTTTTTACAGTGCATTCTTTTCTCACGTGCATGCTCCCTCTCACGTGCATGAGCAAACTGTACAAAAGACAGACTCTGCACAGACGAGAATGACACTGTAAATTTCTGAGGCTAAATACACAAGACTCACTGTAAACGACAAAGCCCATAGTCTGCACATGTTTAAACTCTTCAGCACTGCAGCAGACCAGAGCATTTCAAACAGTTTAAGGGTCTAATGGAAACGTGTTCTTACAAGTACAAACATCAACAATACTGCAGTGATAGAGGCTGAGATCAAAGATAATTAATAATGGGCACAATGAAATTCATGTCAAGTGTTATGAGTAAATTATTTGTAAATTGTATTAGTTACACTAGTAGAACAGTGCCATAAAGTGCATATCTTGTAGCATATAACTTATACAAGTATATATTGATTCAAGTTAGACAGTATGATATTTAAAGGTGCATTGTGTAACTTTTCTGGTGGAGAGTCCGCCAAATGCTTTTCTCCATGGAGACATTATTCCTATGTCTTGATGGTAACAGGCATTTTTAACTTCATGGAGACCAAACCTAGACCCATCTGTGGAAAGGCAATCCCACTCACAGTCAGAATGCCTGGTTTTCTAGGTATTTTTGAGCTATAAAACCACCAGTAATTGAATAAATGTAAGGTAGAGTAATTGAATGTCATACTGTGGAACATTCCAGGTAGAGCACTGACATATCCACAGAAACAAGCAGGTCGATGGACCCCCAACCAAAAAGTTACAAAGTGCACCTTTAAATAATAATTTTACTTGTTTATCAATAGTTTTTAAGTGTAAGTCTGTAGTATGTTAATACAAAATCACATGTAAGCCTGTCAATCAAATGGTAATTTGTATTATTGTATTTAAATTTGTCTAAAAATGCTGTACATGCTTTAATACTCAAACAGTGAGTGGAGATTATAGGCCATGTCCTTAAACTGAACTTTATACTCACTGAAAGATGCTGACGAATCAAGTTCAGAGAGATCAAAATGATAAGAAGGCTGAGAGAGGTTGCATTGACATATTTCTTTTTTTTTTTTTAAAGGCGCACAACAATCTTTATTTTGGCTGTAAAGTTTCACAATATGGCATTAGAATTTAAATTATCTATCTCCAAGTATTTTATGCAAAAATGAAATATACAGTTTGATGACATACTGTGGAATATTGTCATTCCTATAGGTAATTCAACAAAAGTAACCTCTGTATTTGATTTCAAAAGCCTGTCTCCATGTGTCTTTCATGGTCCCGTTTAGAAGAGGGTATGACCTTGTAAATGTACACAAATACGGATGGACTGTCCAATAAAGTGCTTGTTCAAAGGTCCTATAGTACACAAAATGGATTCTTGTGAGCTTTTAGCCATGATATAATGTTGTTACCTCATCAAAAACAGACTTTGAGTAACGTTTTATTATTGGTCTGTCTACATCTACAACGCTCAAAATGCTCTGGTCCACCTTGCAATGTCATGTAGTGACAGTTTTCAAGTTAACTTAAGACTTTTGTTCAGTAGAGATGGGCAAATCTAGGCTTTAAAATTATCCAAATGATTGTAGTAAAGTTCTGGAGTTTAAAAACAACAACAAAAACAAAACCTGTATTGACACATGACATCACAACAACAGAACATAGTGTTTACCATCCGAGAGAAGAACTCACTCAAAAATATGCAACGGTTATGTGTTAAACATGTGTGAATGAAAAAAAAACAACATAACTCCAGGTACTGTATGTTTGTGATGAGGAAAAAACATTAGATCATAAAATAGCGCAATATGGGTGCTTTAACATCACTTTTAAACTTAAACCATGATGTACTGTGACAAGATGGCTGAAACCTTTTAGGAACAGGGAGATCAAAACTATTTTATATTCAAACAGTTTACAATACCCGGAGACTGGTGTAGAGAGAAAGCAGTGTCTGTCTTTGAAACCAGGATTTATGTAAGAAATTATGCAACACGATTTACAAAGTGACACGTTTGAAGTGGAGAGGAGTGCCCATTTTTTGTTTTAAGAGACTATACCTGGAAGTTTCCCACCATGATGAGACCAGCCGCACAGATCCAACCAGTCGAGAGCCCCGCCGTGTTCAGGATGCAGTTTTGGTGCTTTTCGATGACATGGGCGTAACGCAGCAATCCAATCAACAACACTGCAAAAGAGGAGGAAAGGAGGTCCTGTATTATGTAAACTAGACTATTGTGATCTATAAGTCATCTTAGAATGTTGTTACCTCATCAAAAACATACCTGGAATTGTGTTTTGTTTCATTCACACATGTTTTGAGTAACCATTTATTATTAATCTGTCTACATCTCCAAAGCTCAAAATGTCCTGTTTCAACTTGTGATGTCATTTAGTTGTAGTTTTTAGTTAACAGCTACCTTTTACTTTTTGTTTGTTCAGTAGAGATTGGAAATTCCACAGATTAAATCATCCATCATCTCGCCCAGTCAGGTGTGCAGAGTCTACACAGAAACAAGGTCTGAAATCATCCAAATGGTTCTAGTGAAGGAGTATGGAGTCACAGACACACGAAGAATTCAGCCTAAATAAGCAGGGTTTGAGTATTAAACATGTGAATGAAACACAAGTCCAGGGATATTTGTGATGAGGAAACATTATAACATAGATTAGTTAGATTAGATAATAGTGTAATATGGGCCATTTAAAGACACAGATGGTAAATACTGTATATAGTCATCAAAATAAATCATCAACATTTGAAATCACAAATATGCAGGAGCAAAACGAGAGCTCAAAACTGTCCCGTACTGCTTGATGTTACTAGTAATTAGAGGTGGGACCAAGTTGTTGTTTTGCAAGTCTCAAGTAAGTCTCAAGTCCAAGTCAAGTCCCAAATCAAATAGAGGCAAGTCCAAGTCGAATGTCGAGTCACTGGCCCATAAGTCCACGTCAAGTCCAAGTCGTTTACTTTGAGCTTCAAGTCATTTCAAGTGTTTAAACCAAAGTACCAAATATAGCTTAGCCTTAGATTTTTGCTATTTATATAATTTATTCAACTAAAATTGTACTTAAAAGTCATGGTACAAGAGTATTTATATAAGAGTTGTAGAAATGCAAATTTTTCCTTTTTAAATGTCTTGACAAAAGTGCAAATTATTACAGTCAAAACAGAAAGAGTTAAGAATTAAGCATGCTTACAACAGTTCATTTGTCAACTGGTCTAAGCATCAAGTCTTCTTAAGTCACAGGGCTCATGTCCAAGTCAGGTCCCAAGTCTTTGTCTATTTTATCAAACCAAGTCTCAAGTCCTAAAAATAGTGACTCAAGTCTGACTCTAGTCCAAGTCATGAATTGCAAGTCCCGAACTCTGCTGTTAGTGACTACAATTGAAGTAGCATTATACTAATGAATGAAGTTTTGGGTCTATGATAGTAACTTTTTTTTTTTTCCTATCAATCATAAGTAAATCACTTGAGGTATTGAGTTACTTTACATCTTAACAGTAATGAATACAGTACTCTAAAAAGACCAAATATTAACCAAGACATTACTAACAAAATGCGAGTTATTACAAATTTGGATCCAAAATCCAAATAAATAAATGCATTATGAATAATTATTTGTATCTAAAATATTGAGGAGTCGACATGTATAAAGATAAAGTAAACCAATGATGTCGTCAAAGTCAATGGGTTAAAACACTAAACCTTTAAGTAAGCATCTTAAGTAGATTACACACAGGCAGTTAAGAGTATGGAGATCAATGCTATTCAAAGTGATGATTCTGCAGATCTTATGTTGACTCTGCAGCTCTCTGTCACATCTGCTCTTCATCAAAACCCACACATGCATGTTTTGTGTTCTTACTCAGGACTGCAGTGAGCGCGCTGGTGGCTCTTTTAATAACTTTGATAAGAATCGACAACCAAACTAAGAGGTTTTGTTTTTGCTCAGTAAGAGATCCATTTTCTGGTCCAACAATTCCCATTCTTCAGATGTTTGCTGACACCACACCTTCGAGAACTTCAAAACACTATTGTTTCTCTGAGGATTAAGAGATAGCAGACTTTTGATGTTTTTAAGTGTATATGAATTGTATAGAAATAGCTACAAACTGTGCATTCAATTCACTGGTCCGAAGTGATTTGTATCTCTGACTTTATGCATGAAAATCTGTAATTCATAATTTCTATACCAATTTTATTTGATCTTTTACTTCTACTTAACTTAATTTATATTATTTGATAGTAACAATTATTGTATTGTGGATTACGTTACAAAAGCTTATTCCTATTTCATTAAGGACATTCATGGTGTTAAAATATATTTTGAAAAAAGCTGTAGTGGCCTTATATGTTGAATGTTTGTATGTTAGAAAATAATTAGCGTTATGGATTTGTATTTTTATTTTTTTTGTATTTATCGTTTTGTTAGTCTGAGATTATTCAAACAATTATTCTTTTTTTTTTCTTTAATTGAAATTCATTATTTGACTGGCTACATTCTACCCCTAACCAATACCTTACATGGCTCTAGAGTCCTGTCGAATCTGCTTGAATTTCAGCCAGTGTATTTTTGCACATTAGATTTTGCCCCCAGTGACCTATGACCCCTCCAAAGAATTCCCTGAAGTAAGTCCACAAATCACTGCTGTTTACTTTGCACAGGAAAGCCTAGTTATGTGTATGTGTACAATTTAAGTTGTGGAAGTTGTAGTATGTATATTTGTTAGTACATTTTAGTATTCTACCAATATAAACAGAATATATGCATTGTAACATTAAAGGTATCTGAAATGACCATGAGTCCAGACAGGTTAATGACCCTGTAAAATGGACCCAGATTCCACCATTTTCATTGAAGCTATCCACGAGGAGCAGGTGTGTGTGTGGGTCAGAGAGGTCTGCTCAATAATGACCCTGATTGACTGACTTAGAAAAGAGTAAATATGTTACAGCATCTGGACAGAGGTTTCCTGGTATTAAAAGGACATTGCAACACAACAGTTAACAGTTATGAGTCAGGTGATGCAAGGACTGGTCTGTGTTAGGACAGACCCCATTGTGTTGAAAGTTACTATGATTATGAAAGCATTATGTTCATTATATCTTTATATTATTCTAAAAGTGCCTCCCCACCATATCATGAGCTTTCCCACGATATCACAATAAATATTGTACCGTGAGGTTCATACTGTGACGATATTGTATCATGAGACTTGGATATCATTATATCCCTATTCATTACAAGTGTTTCTGTTGTATTGGTACTATTTGCAGTACTTTATAGCATATTTTATAAACAGGAACTGTTTATAAAATATGCTATAAAAAAAGAGTTGGGTTGGACTCAATGCAAAATTCTTAAGATACTACTAAAAAGTACCATCTGTAATGTTAAGCACTTCTATCCACAATGATATAAGTTACTGTGTTAGGGAGTAGAATCTAAGTTTCTAATGAATTACCATTCCTGGCCTTTATGAACACACTCATTAATCTAATTACCAAACTTCCCATCACAAATTCTTTTTCTTCTTCTTCTAAAAAAAAAAAAAAAAAGGTTAAAAATCTCTGAACATTGGACCTAGTCATGAACTTTCCACGCTGCTGCTGAACCTGAGTTTCATCTGGATTTCTTGTTGACAGAGTTAAGTAAAAAGACAAATCAATCAGTCCTGGCTCAGAATAGATGATGAATGTCTAAATACAGTGGGACATTGCACTGCCTTGTCAGACATCTTTATAGCATGGATGTCATGTCAGAGAGGCAGATAAAATGTCCCTTTAGGGAGGGGGGTAAATGGGACCGGGGCAGTGGGTGGAGGTTCAGACTTGGCAGGAGCTATTGCAGCTGAAATAACATCAGACTTGGGTTCACAGAGTCGCTTTGAACCAAGAACAGGATAAATTTGGGGGCAAATGGTAAAAAGCAATATGGATTTAATCTCAAGGCATTTCAGTGCTGGGTCTGTTTGCAATCTTACATTATAAAGCTAAACTAGTGTGAAAGGTTGAGAGTACAGAAGCTGGAGAAAAAGGGGGCAAAATTTGTTTTTTGGAAATGAAGAATTTGGACCATATTACACTATTTTCTGATCTATGTTATAATGTTGTTTCCTCATCACAAACATACCAGGTGTTGTGTTTTGTTTCATTCACACATGTTTAACACGCAAATCCTGCATATTTAGGCTGAGTTCTCTCAAATTGAAAACACAGTTTCACCTTGTGATGTCATATGCTAATAGAGGAAATGCTCCGCTGTGTTTTTAAACTCCATACACCTTCATTAGAATCATTTGGATAATTTCAGCCCTGGAATTGTCAATCTCTTCTAAACAGGAGGTAAAAGGTAGCTTTCATCTTGAAAACTACAAGTTCATGACATCACACAGAGCACAGAGCATTTTGAGCTTTAGTGATGTCAACAGACTTTTAATAAAGGGACACTCAAATATGTGTGAATGAAAAAAAACAACAAACAACTCCAGGTATGTTTCTGAGGCGGTAACGACATCCTAACATGGCTTAAAGCTCAGAAGAGTCAATTTTGCATAATATAGGTCCTTTAATAACAACAACAATGCAAGGTTGCTTTGAATAATAACAAGATTTCCTGCTATAATTGTGTTATATATTGTAATTTTTACTTCACTTCATATTGACATAAAACAAAGTAGTTAATTGACTTACCCATAAAAGAGCCAGTGCTGCAGATGAGGCTGAAGAAGCAGCTTTCCGGTGGCATTGTTCCACTTTTACTGCAATGAAAACAAATATTTACGTAAAATTTAAAAAGATGCAGTTGTTTCCTCAAAGCATTTCAATCAGTAACAGTATTTTACCTAAAATACTACCTTTTAGCGTCTATATTTACACATTTAAGTTCAAATAAGTTAAGCCTCTTTGTCTCAGCAGTTTAGTCTCCACTATGTTTGACATGTCTATTCTTGTTACTACACAGTATTTTGGGGAAGTTGGTGAAGCTATAAATTGTTTAAGTTCTCAATCACTGTCTGGCATATAAAATGTTCTAAGAAAGGACTTTACCAGAATCCATCTATAAAAATGTTAAATTACAGTGTTACTGGGAGGATGTGGAAATAATGATAGAGAATGCTATGTTTTATTTGCAGTTTTAAAGTTACTCAAGTTCACAAACAGCATGATGTGTTCAGCAAAACTCTGATCTCAGGGTATAAACTAAGGAAGGAGACTCAGAGCACAAATGTACAATATTAAAAACAGGAAAGAAACACTAGACTAAAAGAATAGGCCACTACTAGTAAAGCTGTTGCCTAGTGATGATACCACACAAACACACACATCATAACTGGGACTAAACTAGGACTAAATCTAAATTAGACCGGGACTTCAACAAATCTACTTCAGGACGAAACTGGGCTCAAAACAGGACCCAACCAAGACAAATGTGGACGCACCGTTAATCTGTTAAAATGCACTTGAACCTAAACAAGCCTCTGAATCCTAAATCCTGGATCGTGCACTAAGAAACTTTTCTAGTGAAAGGTCCGCTTCCTTCTTGTTTCAATGAAGATGCTATTTCTTTAAAAGGGAAGTTCAACAGTATGACAACGTATCTTTCTGGAGACAAACAAGTGACGCCACCAGTTACAGGTCAGATCTACGGAAAGGTGACACTGCATATTGGGAGAATTAATGTTTTTTATGGTACTTTGAGCAATAAAACGTGTAACTGAACAAATGCAAGATAGAAATAAAAGTTTCACGCTGCATCTTTAATCTTGTCCCAGTATTTCATGGAAAGTTAAAATAACCAAGATCAAATTCAGCACTTCTTAAACACCATTTGAATCATGATTAATTTACTGTTTGTGATGTTGGTGCACACTTGTTTAGTATTCCCTGGTTTGTTTACACTCTGGTGGTGTGAGCGGTGAAGGATTCGCTACATGAGACAAAAGCCTTTCTTCCTGTCGAGGTGAAGAGGTCCCATCCCCCCGACTCTCAACTCAAGTCAGGCAAGTGCAGGCCTATCCCACAGGTTAGCATCTAGAACAGCTGCACAACTATACAGAACATATACCTTTGTTTGGTGATGTTTTTCATTAACTGTGATGGACACTTTGATTGCTGCGTTTCTGAGAGAAAAAATGTAGTTTGTGGAAAAACAAAAATAGAAACCACAAAGGCCAGGCAGCGAGCAACGGCACTGCTGCTCATATGCACAAACTATATGTTCAAGAATGGTTGAAATCCTATACGCCAAATGTTATATTCATAATTGTGGTTTTAAAGAACGCAAAGGAAAACTGGGAATGTTTTATATTCAGACCTATATACACCAAAATATATGAGGACCAGGGCAGCTACAGATGCCATATTTAGACAAACCATACAAAAATGGTAGTTTAACGGTACATTGTGTAACTTTTCTGATGGAGGGTCTGCTAGCTGCTTGTCTCCATGATGAATAATATTGCTTTGCCTGAATGTTCCACAGTCTGGCATGCAACTTTTCTATCTCCATGAAGACAAGTAATGCCACCAGGCCAAGTTGTTGGTCAGATCTGTAGCAAGACAACCTAAAGTAAAAATGCATGGTTTTCAAGTAATAAAAACAGGTAATGTAATAAATATTTGATAGATAAGTTTAATGCCATACTGTGGAACATTCCTGGCAACCCTAACCCAAAGTGATAAATGCAGTAGTGCAACCTCAACCAAAAAAGGTGCGCAGTGTACCTTTAAATTAGCCAGGCTGCCGCCACCTAGTGCCTCCGCTCAATTTCATTTCTCTCCAGTGACTAGGTCAGGAATTAGAATACACTAGATGGTTTGCAAAAACCCCGGAAGTTGTAGACTGTTACAGCACAGTAAACAGTAACCAAAGCAGTCAAGATGGATGTAGATGAAGCCATACATTCTGTGCAACGATTCCAGAGATCGAGGATTTAAAGCCAGAACAAAGAGAATGTTTGGTGAATTTTATTAAGGGGAAAGACGTTACTGCCCTTCTTCCTAAGGGATTTGGGAAACGCTTAATATACCAGTTAGCTCCGTTAGTGGCACATTACATATGTCATGACCAAATAGCAGCAATTTGGTTAATAAAAAAAGTACCCGCCTACCACTGAGCGAACGAATACTAATGCTGCGAGGTCAGAAGTTTTCATGAAGTGAAACCAACTGATGAATCAGACTACCTTTAAATTCCTCAATGAATACTTTAAGTGCAATGATCCACTAATTTGGCAATTCACACTATTGCTTTTTAATCTTGAATTGTTAGAAAAAAGAATTGTGGTTATTTGGGAATAAAGATGGATCCGAACAAATATCTTATCTCTCATTTGTTCCTGTAAGTATAGTTACAACATCCATTCCTTGTTAAATGCTGTGCAGAAGTATCACTTTGTTTGACTTGAAAATACCACTGTACAACACCAACCTTATGAGAGGTATATTTTCCAATGTACAGCATAGGACAGGGCCTCTCTGTAGGTGAAGCTCCTCCTCACACGACTCATTATAAAGCCTGGAAAAATCATAAACAACCAAATCAGAATGGATTCATCACAATTTTCTAATAATGACATTAGCATAGTGTATTGAGCCAATATTATGCTATTTTCTGATCTATGTTACTAGTATAGTGTTTTTCCTCATCAAATACATACCTGGAGTTGTGTTTTGTTTCATTCACACATGCACATGACATCACAGCACAAGGTGGAAAAGAGCATTGTGAGCTTGGAGATATAGACAGACTAATAATAAAGGATTACTCAAACATGTGTGAATGAAACTAAACACAAACTCCAGATATGTTTTTGAGGAGGTCACAAATTTCTAACGCGGCTAAAAAGCTCACAAGAGTCAATTTTGCGTAATCGAGGACCTTTTAGGTGTTTGTCATAGATAAAATCTACGTGAACAATTTACCCAGGTTTATATTTAATTAAGCTGCTACGTGCTTGGTGTGATTGCATCAAAGTCTTAAAGTCTTACAGTGGTCACGTCAGCAGGAGCAGGTCATTTACGTCAATTTTAGCTTATTTTAAATGTATAAATGCATTCTGGACCTCACTTTAGCAGATCATTGCCACGATTGCCAAAGTTAAAAATAACAATAGCCCATGCACAAGTTCAGTGAGGGCATGCATGAGTTTGTCCTTTTGTAGTTATGTAATTTATGATCATAATCATAATTCTTTTAGTTCTTCAAATATGATAAATTGCATTGGTTTCATATTTCACATACCAAAGAAGTGACTTGATATGAGAACCGTTCCTCTACCCAAATATTATGACTCCCCCTTAAAGATGATTTACTGGTTTCCAATGCACATTTTATCCATACAGTTCCTCCCATTAACTCTGGCTTCACTTTATTTTCTTAATGTCCACTCCCAGAATTCATTTGGCGTGCCGTATTTGACAGGAAGTAGAAAGTTAGGGAGACGGAACAATGACAGACAGTTTCCTATGAATGAATGAACTCCACTGGACCTACATCATAACCTAAACATTGACACACGTGAAAATGTGTGAATGTTCCATAATATGGTTCAAACTTGTCAATCTTTCATTCAGTTACAGTCACTTTTATTGCCAAAATACAGTTTTTGTTTTTGTGCATGGGGGTCACCTGTTTGTTTTCATAGACTTTGCCAAGTTCTTATTTTGTGGAACATTCTCAACTAAAGAAAGGTTTTGGACTTGTAACCTAAAATCATATAGTGCTTGAACATAGCTCTATGGTAAATGGCCAAATTTTTAAATAGAGCTTTTCCACTTTCAAAGCACACAAAGCTCTTTATATCAAGGAACCCACACACTCACTCCAGTGTACACAGACACTGGGGGCGAGCTGGGTTAAGCGTCTTGCCCAACAACAGCATTCATCTGTGGGAGCTGGAATCACACCGCCAACCATCAACCTCAATGATGTTTATGTTTATCTAAAAGCTTTCCGATATAAATGACCACACAAGCATTTAAAGTTGTATTGCTATTTAGTAGTCTGTGAATGTGTTTTAATATCTCATTTCACTTACCAGTTATTGACAGGACAGACATGCTGGTTGTAGAGGGCCATTGCATATCTGTAAGAGAAAAATGCAAGTTCAGTTCACATTTGGCCAAACAATTCTGTGATATTAAGTATGCTATGTAACTTTTCTGTTTCACTGTTTGCCACCTGCTTTTCTACAGAGAGATGCTATTGCTTTGCCTGAAATATCTCCACAGAGAAGAGCAGGTGACAGGTTAAATCTGTGAAAAGGCAAGCCAATTCACTGTAAGAATGTATCTTTTTGAAGGCATTTCAATAAAAGCAATAAAAATGCCTGTAATTTAAAAGGGTCCCATTACACTATTTTCTAATTTATTTTATAATGTTGTTTCCTCAGCACAGAAATGCTTTGAGTTGTGTTTTGTTTCATTCACACATGTTTAACACACAAACCCTGCATATTTAGGCTGAGTTCTTCTCTCAGACAGAAACAAAACAAAACTCCCAGTATGTTTTTGAGGAGTTAACAACATTCTAACATGGCTAAAAGGTCACAAGTAATATAAGGCCTACATGCAAGATACAGTATAAGGACAAGCAGGTGGACCCTTCAACAGAAAATTTGTACATAATGCACCTTTAACTCACAAACACCGTGATGCTCCATCCAGCAAAACCTCTTTAATACTTTCATATTGTCCGTTATGCATACACACACCTGTCCTGGTGTATTTTAACCTGCTCTGACATCAGAAAATCCTGATTTTGAATTAACTTAAAATGCCAATTAAACAGTAACCACATCTGCAAATTGTGAGATTAGAGGAACATTATCTGAAACTGTCCTTTGTTCACTTTACTATGGATTTGCCACAGAGTTCAATCAGCTCCTTATAAGGCTGTGTTTTCTGATAAGAGTAAACAGTAATCGACAAAGCCAAGATAACATTTGACAAGATAGTTAAAATATTTAGTTGGTGGTCAATATTAGTGTTAAGACTGAGATTGTACTCATATCATCTGTTGTAAATGTTTAAGGAACACCGTGAACCACCAAATACAGAATAAATGTTATGAAGTTGAATAAAGACAAATTATGGAAATGTTTTCATCTTTTAACCTGTATTTAAGAATTTATTTAATTGCTGGTGTTTTTATACCTTTGAAAAACATAAATTGTTACTGTTAGCAGGTTATAGTTATTTTGTTCAGATAACATCTTAAAGTATAAAGTGTCTGTGTAATTCCTCAATTGGCCAGGTACGATTCATAAAAAATAAATACATTTAAAAAATCCATCAACTGGTTAAAAGTTTTAGAGTTTTACAGAGACTTTTCACTACTCATCCAAGTGACTTCTTCAGATTGCTGGTGGACACTGCCTTATAATCTTACTAGAACCAGAAAGAAGACACTTGGTTGAGCTGAGAAATGTGTTCATGCTAAAACCTTTTGTCCAGCTGACAGAATTTAAATGTTCTTTTTCTATAAATCTTGAACTGTTAAGACTCCTCCTGACCAAAGATACTAACTTCACAATATATGGTTTTGTAAATTTTCACCATTATGGAAAATGAAGGTTTTGATGGTCATAAAAAAGGATTTACTCTATGACCCTATAACCATTACAATAGCGAGCTGCAGCACAATGCTTTACCCTCTACCTTGTCCAAACGCTTCTACATAAATTTCCACAACTTTCTACAAACATGGCATTTGCCGTATATGACGCAGGGTTGGAGTCTGACTATTTCAAATGTCAAATATTTACTTTGGCGGTAAAAAAAATTGCTCCATAGAGCGTGGTACTTTTGCGTGGTGGGTTTGTAGGTCAAGAGGCAGACCTATAGATGTAACACAGAGGCATTATTAACCTGTAGGATAAACACGGGCTGTGACAGGCAGAGGATTACAGCGTTGTCTTTAGGGAAAGCCTTTTGAAACCTGGTGTGAAAAATTCCTGCTCTCCCTTTACAGCTGTGTGAAGGACTTGGCAGAGGAGAGGGTGCAACTCCAGACAGAGAGATGTATGGACCAGTCTAGGTCTAGTGTAGGTGTAAAGAGCATTTTTAGATATGTTTCCGGTTAATCTTGTGCCCACATTAGTGTAGACTGTATCATAAACACAAACTTATTCATGAGTTTCAGATTCCTTTTATAGGCAACCTTGTGAGGACTTCACAATTCAAAAGACAAGAAGAATGTTTTGTTTTAAATTGTTAATGCAACGGACACAATCCTAATTTTTCATCAGTGTGAAATCCACGGAGAGAGAGCGCTGGGAGGAGAGATGCACATTCATTTAGACTAGATTACTTATATTTTTGTTTTGAAATCTTGTACTAGAATTATTACTTTTTTTATTTGATAAAATTCACAATGTATTACTACTCATATCGAAAATATATTACTGAGAATGAGATAAACTGATCAAGTAATTTCCTTTCTGGTTGTCTACTCTAGTATTTCCCTCATAATTTCAAAATGATTACTTACTTATATTATACTGTCTCAGGACTCAAAGCTTAAGGAAGTTGAAGGAGTGGTAATAATAACAGTGTTGTGACTGCAATCATAGACAATACTGAAGATATAGCTGTACTAGTAGTCTTTTTTTTATCTTTTCTTGTGGAGGGTCGGTCACCTGATTGTTTTTATGGATATGTCATTGCTCTGCCTGGAATGTTCCATAGTATGACATTAAACGGCTCTACCTTACATTTATTCGTTTACAGGTGGATTTATAGCTCAAAAATACCTAGAAAAACAGGGATTTTGACTGTGAGTGGGTTGCCTCTCCACAGATCTAGCCTGTAACTTACTTGGTCTGGTTTGGTTTCCATGAAGATAGAAAGCTTTAAACCAACGATACTATAAAACAATCCAGACAAAGCAATAGCATCTCCATGAAGAAAAGCAAAAGAAAAGCAGACCCTCCAGCTGAAAAGTTACACAATGCACCTTTAAAATTTAAACTTCTTGAACACATATACAACGCAAGACAATGTATTTTAGAACAGCCTGGAGGAAAAACAGTCATCCAATAGTGACAATCCAGGGAGCATCCTATTACTTAAGTGGAGCAGGTTTGACCACCCGCTGATTTCTGCAACAAGTGCAGCAGATGCTAAATGACACTTCACTAAACAACTGACACAATTTAAGGCTCATTTCCACCATAAAGGCCAGTATACAGCACTGATCACACACTATTGTCATGGGAAGTGGATGTCAAAGAAAGTAATACATGAGAGAGGAGAAGAGGGGAAGATTGAAACAAGACCATAGAGTAGGAATCTAAAACAGATACTCCTCCACATTGTTCTGTCCAAATAAGGAAAAGTGCTTAATATTATGGGGCTGAGGAGTTGGTACAGCCCAGTATATGTAGGTTAGTTTGTTAGTCGACAGATGTATTAAGTTTTAGAAAAAATGTAAGACTTACACGACCCAAATTCCTGTGATCATGAAGACAGGAAGACTGAGAGGAAGGATCATCCACAAAGACATGATGCTCACAGGTGTTTGACACTGCTGAACACAAACAAAAGGGATTAAGGAGGAGACAGGTTTTGTAGATATTGATTAATGTAGCTAATAAATGTAATTAGTTAAAATAGTTAGACCAGTTACAAAAGGAACTGCACAGTCAATATATAAACAGATTTGAGATGTTCAGATGCACGTGTCATTTTGTATGGTGGTTTGTTTGTGAAATATTTTATTAAACTTGCAAATTAGTCCAGTTAATCTCGTGCAATGTCAGTAAGAATGCCCATTTGGTTTTGTCATTAAAATACTGTATAAGAACGCACTGCATTCCTTGGTCCTGGTTTGACCAGAGTTGACTTTGTTGTAGGGGTGTAACAATATCCAAGTCTCACGATACTATATCGTCAAGGTATGAACCTCACAGTACAATATTTATTGCAATATCGCGGGAAAGCTCACGATTAGGGATGTAACAATATCCAAATGTCTCAGTATGGTATTTAAGCAATATTTTCATGATATACAGTACATGTCATGGTACAATATTTATTGTGATATTTTGTGGAGGCAAACGAAACTGTTAATATGCTACTTTTTCCTCTTAAAATGCCTTGACAAGATTTAATCCAAAGAACTAAAACTTAAAAGCGCTTAGAACTGTTATTTCTTTTTGTAGTCTACACTGAAATGGAGCAAAGGATCATGGTCTGTTGTTGTTCCCTCTGTCTTTGTAACTCTTAATTTAAGAAAAGTAATTTTAATTCGATATATTGTGATGGTTCAAGATATTATTGTGAGAACTCTGACAATATGATATCACGATATTTCACTTATTGTTACATCCCTACTTTGTTGGGTCCTAGTTTAGTCCTGATCTAGTCCAGGTTTAGTTCTGGATTTAGTCAGAGTTTAGTCCCATTGTTGATGTGATATGTGTGAAAATGTGAACGCACCATAAGTTTGGCTATTCATTTGCAACTGACTGTAAAACTGAAGTAATATAGTATTTGCATTTAAGTAAAGATAATCCGTTTTGTGCAATATTAATTAGGACACGTTTGGTTGCAACATGTGTTAATTCAAAGAAAGCATCATATTACAATGATAAATAACGTTAAATTGGCTCTTAGTTACATAGTTTTGACAGTTTTCTGCGCTCTAGAAGATGCTATGCACAGGTATTGAGCCTAATAAAATATTTCCAAAGTTTCATTATTATGGTTCGACTTTTTGATGAATTACAACCTATACTGTACCCTATATTGTATCATATTTGGTTTACAAATGTTTCAGAATGTCCTACAGACAGAGCAGTGCATACGTCTGTTGTTACCTGAGCGTCGTAGGTAAAAATCTTCAGGATCTCCAACTCGACCCCCAAACTTGCGAACAGTCTGTGCGCGTCCCTGCTTCACTTTCGCAGTATAACATCCCGTTTTGAAGTCCCCAAATATCTCTAAAATCTTTTACATCATCTTCAAAACGCGTGGAGCGGCGTACACGGGGTTCCGTTCCCCCGTCCAGCCGCTGTTGAGTGTTTTCCTCCACGGTCTTGGTTGTGTTGTGGTGGTCTGTGCCGCGGGAGCAGCCACGAGAAACACGAGCTCCGCCCACCACGATGATTTCTTCAACACTTTTTTGGTTCCAAGGATTGTGCAAAAGTCAGTCCTGGTTTTGATTCAGGTATTTGCTACGTGGAGATGGGGAAATCATGCTGTTTATCTTGTGAGTTGGATCACACGTGCAGATTCCATTTCCGGAGTTTTAATGGTACAAGGGCAAGTTTGAGTCAGTGAGGTTTAAGAATCGGATCATTTTACATGAACAAAACAGCCGCATCCCGGGCCAGAAGCAGTTGTTTTGGTGGGATGTGTCGAGGGGGGCAGTTTCTTGTTTTCAGGCACGGGTAGTTTCTGTCCTGTAATTCTTGGAAGTTCTATTAAGAAACATCTGTCACTTGTGGGCTAGACAAAACTATTTCAAAATACTTTCTAAGAGTCTCATCGTAATGTGGCCTATTTACATGATGTGAATGAACAGTAGAAAACAAAGATTTTCATTACACAGAAACTACACTTTAGATTACTCTAGTGCAGGGGTGTCAAACTCAAATTCACAGAGGGACGAAATTAAAAACTGGGACTAAGTCGTGGGCCAAACTAAATATTTATAAAAAATTTCAACAACATCTGCATGTTTTCTCTTCTTTCGAGATATGTAATGTTAAACATTTTCTTATTAAAATAAATGTTCAATAATAGTTTTGCTTAAACACTGAATCCAGAACAAGTATAATGTAAAAAAATAACAACATTTTAAATAAATAATGTCTCTGTAGTCTATCTGTAGCCAGCTCTAATACATATTTGACCTGGTCTCGTGGACCAAATTTAGCCCCGGACCTGAGTTTGACATGTCTGCTATAGTGGCACTATAGTTGAAAATATATAAATCCTATTATAGATTATTCAATTATTTTATTTCATTTGGGAAACTCAAAGTCAGAAAGATGAGCTAAGATATACTATTACTATATTTTTATGTTGTTGTTTTTTTTATTTACGATACATTTATATGATTTTGACTTATTTGACATCAGTCTTTTGTATCAGTATTTTTGCTACTTATTTACTTATTTTGAATTTATTATCACCATTTATATATGTATTTTTTCTTTGTTATTATGGTTTTTTTTTATTTGTGAGCTACTATGTCCAAATAATTTCCCTTGTTGATCAATAGTTTGTTTAAGTCGAAGATAAATACACTGATACCGAAAAGGAGTGGATGGAAAAAGAACTACCAAAAATCTTGCATTAACTTACTGAGAAAGTGATAACTGTAATAGCAATAATGTAAATATTATTATAGCCATAGTGACAGTGGTATATTCTCCTTACATCCACAAGAGGGCGCCAAATATAATCAAATGTAAATACTACACCTGTATATGACGTTTGTGTGTCACGTGTACCAGATAATTCTGAGTCATTGACATCTGAAGTATGTCTTAACAGGAGATCAGGTTATGTTTCACTGTAATCCTTTCTGCAACTGCAATTTCTAAACTGTAAAGCTTTGATGAGAAAAGACTGGGAGGGTGTGTTTCTTAAAACAACTTAGTAATAATCAGCAATAATCAGTTATTGTCAGTTATTTGTAATTATTTTATTGTAACATTTCAAATTATGCAAAGCCCTTTTTAACAGGTTCCCTTTGAATGGACTTCAACCACAGAAAGAACTATTTTATTTCACATTTTAAGTGGCTAATAGCAAAAGACAGCACAGATGACAAGAAAAAAAATGCATTGTTTGGCACAAAGGACTTCAAGTTAGACCACTTTAAAGATAAGGGATGTTCAGACGTTCACTGATAAAATGAATGAAAGTAATCTTTAAGGTTTTGTGCGTCAGAAAAAAATACGTATAGATTACAATGGCATAGCCTATAGGAAGACAAATATCTGTCAACGCTTCACAATACAACAGATATATTTAATACTGGCCACTGCAGTCAGTACATTCTCCAGAAGACATGCAGCTAACCCACTATTCACCTGTAACCAGCATAAAAACATTTGTCCTTCAGTTTCTCTTGTCAAGTTTATCTGAAACTGTAGTAAAATAGGTAACATTAAAATATGCTGCCAAAGATTACAAATAAATCATTACATCAAAGTGTTTTTTAACAAAGTAATAATACGCATCTTCATCACAAACCCTTTCAACCCCAAACTCTGGAACTGGGCATAAACTAGAACAAAAAGTCAAACTGAATGGACAGATAGTTCATATATTGTGGAATGGTTTGGTGTAACTGATTCATTAAGGCTACTTTGCTGTATGTTTGCTATATTCAGCAAGAACAGGTTACAACAAAACTAGGAATGTAAAAATTAAGGAAAGAAATTACACTAGTTTTAGATATTAACAACTGACCATACATTAACATTAACATTATATTAAGAAAATAAATATATATATACACATAGGACACAACTTCCCTTATAATACTCTCTCTTTAGCAGCTTGTTGCAGACAGCACAAAGATGCCATTCATATTTTTGGACGCAAGTTCTATTTTTATCTATTATTAATTCATTTTCTGTATGTAAATGCCCAATTTTACTATATTTATGAAGTCCTGTTCATTAAAGGTACACTAACCTTTCTGGAATGGAGTCTGCCACCTGCCCTTCCTAACGGCAGTGTTTTTCCATTGGCTTGCATGTTACACAGTATGACATTACAGTTAAGTAGCTATGCCAGGGAAAGTTACAGGTCAGATTTGTGGAGAGGTAAACCCGCTCACAAATATAATATTGAGCAATATAACCATATACATGTTTAATGTCATACTGTGGAACCTTCGAAGCAAAGCAAAACAAGCAGATAGAAGCCCCCCCCATTAGAAAAGTGACATGGTGAAGCTTTAAATGACAGTCTATATTTATCAAATTTCATGCATTTTTCTATATTCTAATTCACTGAGACGGACCAGAATCCCTCTTTCACAGTTGAGTGAATATTAAACACTCGCGCAGTATGGGGCATTATTATTCAGTGCATATCATGGACTGGAAGGCATATGTTGTGTAAACATATTTTTAACATAAAAAACAAGGGTAAATTAAGGACAAGTAAAAACACAAGATCTTCTGACGCTACCAAGAAGTAACTACACACTGTCACAGGAATGCCTTTAAGATCTTATCCCCACAGCTAAGGTTAAGGGCAGTACCTTTAGTTCTTTCTTTCAAGCACAAAATCAACTTGGATGGGTTGAAAACAATGTAATTTAGTGTCCTTCCCCCCCCCCCTTTCTATGGCTTACAGGTATCAGTCAAGACTATAGGAACTGGGAATAACAATAAAAATGCATTAAATTAATTAATATTGTATGGCACTATTGTAGCAATTAAATATTACCAATTCCACAAAGAATGCAATTTCTTAAATAATTTTCAAGATAAAATCTTTAAAATAGGGGTTTTTGGTATAAAGTTAAAATAAATTAGAGTGCTCACAATTATATCTAAATCTACTCAGTGTTTTTTTTTAATTCCCTTGTAATCCATACCATGCATCTTTACCTGTTAGTCTTAAATAACCTTATCATATCATTATAATTTTCATCATTGGAAATTGTGCTACATGCAGATTAGCTCACTAAAACTGCTTTAAAGGTCAGTTGATGTTGAAACACTAGGAAAATCTGTTAGTTAGTTTGTTTTTAAATGTCCAAAAATCCATCTGTTTTTATGGCACAGTCTGTTCATACTTTACTCTTTCTTTGACTTGCTGCTACTGTGGGATCCCTTGAGGTAGGACTCATAGAAAAACATGCCAAACAGGATCAAATAGCTGAGATACATTAGAGACCCCCATGTTATGTTGTGCATGTTGGATGGACAGTGGACTTCATTTAACCAATTATAAACAAAAATGAGCACCGTTAGCCCCATCACCATCTGTAGAATCTGCATGGTAGTGATGAACATGGCACAGAATCGTGGTATACGGATCCCGGCAGCCCTAGCCGCGTAGTACGTGTACATGAGGGAGTGGACGAAGTAGTTCATGGTCATAAACCAGCCCCCTCCAGCCACCTGGTCCTTGTACGAGAACCAAGAGTAAAGCAGGACGGTGATGTGGTGGTACCAGTGCAGGAAGATCAGACGCTGCTTTCTGAGAACTATGAAGACTGTGTCACCTGGAGAAGAAAGTTAGAAAGTAAATGTAAGTGAGCGTGAGGATAAATAATTTCACAGTAGGCAAAGGCAAAGTTATATAGTAAAATATTGTTGCAAGCAGTCAAATAATCCAAAATTGGTGAGTAATTTCTTGCAATATGTTACTTATCATTCAATAATCTAAAAATCAACTAAAAGGGGACTACACTCATACCATACAACATACAACTCACCCTTATGTAATAGATAACACTACGTCACGTCAATCACTATTTCATTTTTGCACTGTTTCACCATACCCACCCTTTGTATATAGCCGAGATATAATTACATTACTAGATGTGTAATTTTTATTTTTATTTGATAGAGGTTTTGTAGGAAAAATAATGCACTCTCACTTGAATGAAGTACAGTGAAACTACATTTTTACTTGCTAGTGAAGGCCAAAGCTTTGTTGTGGTCTGTGTCACCGTCTACGGAGTTCTATTACTCTACTATTTCTACTTCTACTACGATCTGTGACGATGATGTTTAGTTATTACAAAACATTTATGTTGTTACTCAAGGTATTGAAAAGATCACAACAGATAAGCTATACAGTCCTTTTGTTACAGCTTGTGCTTACAGTTGTGTTTACAGCTATGATTTATATGTTCATTTGCGTCAGTCTCTTGCCTCATTTAAAGCACCTAAAGCCTGTCTAACAAGGGCAATAGGACGTACTGGCCCACAGCACAGGAGCCTGTATCAGTCATGACTCATGCTTTAATAGTAAATAGTTGCCATCTCAGCATCTGGCTCTGATGCACTTCGTCCTCTGTCTGACCGAGATCATGACGAGATTACTCCACAGACAAAGACAGCATCTCCACACCCTCAGAAAGCTTTTAAGATATTTGTCTGCTGATAAACCTACAGAAATCTTTACAATGCCAAGTTAAAATCTGAGTGGCTTCCTATATTGGGACCCTAAATTCTCTGTATTTCATCCGGGGGTGGGGCTTAGCATTCCATGTAAATCAAAGGTTATTAACTGTGTGCTGTATTTTCCAAGAAGGAAGTTAATTCATAATCAGCAGATGTAATGCAATAGATATTAAGGTTCAGAGACATTCCAAATATCTAACCATGAGTCCCAGGTTCAGAATGCAACCGGTCTAGCAGCAGCTCAGTGTTGGGCCGGTCTTATGACTGTGACACTCACACAAGGACCGGAACTCTGCTGTACTGTTGCATTTTATTTATTAAGGGCTGCGGAGGGCACCAGCTTGTTACTTTTAATAATACTTGGGACCACTGTACCAGAGATGCATCACGTACAGTCTGAGCCCGGAGTAACCTTGACCTTAACCTGACTGTGAAAAAATATTGTCAAAAATCAAGATTTATGAGCATAACCACTGATACTACTGTCTGTTTGGCATAACTGTGTTTGGGGGGAAAAGTGCTTCCTGAAACATCAACAGAAAGTAAATGAAAATGTATTGGTTATAATTTTAGGTCTAAAAAAAAAAGTTTGTTTTTAGACATGGCAGCTCAGGTGAATAGGAAAACACTGTTTAAAAGGGGGTTGCCATGGTTGCAATAGAATGTGCCCCTGGATGAAATGCCAAGTGTTTAGGGAGTCCCTTGTGTTGATGAGTATAGCACGGACATTGAGCTATCCACAGCCTCTCCTGTTTTCTTTTCAAAAACAGGAGTGGTCTGAAACTGTCCTCTCGGCAAATCCTTAAGATCACTCAAGATGATCAAAGTAGAAATCACACCCCATTAATCATTCAGCAACATGACAGTGAGTCGATCATTTACTACGAGTTGAAATCTCAAAGGCTGCTATTAAAATGTCCTCTGCAAAGCAATTTGTGTTAATCTTATAGTTTAAACAAGCTTTCTACAAACATGTTATGAAATAGATTCTTGTATCATTTCAAGACATGTATCAGTCTTCCCTCAAATGATAATGCTCCTGGTTTAAAATCTACACTCTTACTTTAAAAGCAAATCTAATCACAACCACCATACTTATCAGAAAAATCATAGTATTTTTTTTGCCCAAATTATTCATTTCCAACCATAGACTATGTATAAGTGGTCAAAGCTAACCTGCTAGCCGCTGCGTTTTCAAATAGTAAGTGTGGGCTTTTCTGGCTTCATCGACTCCAATTGACTTGACATTAAAAAAATAGTCACCCTCTCTCTGCCTCGCCATTTTTTTTAGTTCTTTTTTGCTATTTTGTACGAAAATAAAATTCGTATTCCTAATACAAACCCAGCTCCAAATTCACTACTATAACCGCCAGCATTGATGAGCTTCATTTGACTGGAGCTGAACACAAAGGGTGACGTCACATTCCCTAAGTTCACTTATTATTACAGTCTATGGTCCCATTTTTATGCAACAAAAATGATCATTGCTGAATTATCTTACCGAGCTCAGGAGCCTTGGACAGAACAAAAGCCCAGGCCCAGAATTTGGTGAGGGGCGCGTGGTAGAAGCCGATGTCACACACGGACTGCCTGAACCCGCTGGTGGTGAGGACGTGCATCATGTAGAGTCCTGTCCGAACCACTCCAACAATACTGTGGACCCAAACAACAGTGGACATTTTCAACTTGTCCCATTTTAAAACCAGCTCAACAGATAACAACAGTGCTTTGCTCTCACTAATCCCAAACCAACATTGGATTTCTGAGTTACATTTGCGTGCAGTGTGGGTTTTTCAACACTGCATCTGTTGAATATCACCAAATGAAGCCAAAGAAGACATTTTGGTGTAAACTATATTTGTATCGCCTTGTTTAACCCTTTACTGGTGGCTAGCAAATTATTAAATTATTATGTGAATGAGTTAAAAATATTGAGCAATTCCACCAGGGAGGGCTTCATTTAGGCTGTACATGTGGTTTATGTTAAAAGGCAATTTTACGTTACAGATGTTTTTCAGGGATTCAGTATTGAAATAAGACTAAATAAAATGTAATTGAAAGCCTTAAATGATCAATACGCAGGAAAAAACTTTGGTGATTATATGTGACCTGGCGTTCACTTGAACAAAAATAGCACAAACTGACCAATCTTTACCTGAAAATGGCAAGGCTGAGTGACCACAGTGCCAGTGGGCGGCGCAGGTTCAACTTTGGCCTCTCCCTCATGAAGTGCTGCCCGGCGAAAACGAAAGCAGCATACAGGCCACAGAACATAAAGGAGTTGGTCCTGTGGGGGAATAAAAACAGACAAGGTCAAATACATTTAGGTGACGCCATAGTGAGTCACCAAAGAACAGTTTTCCATTTCATCTCAGCCCATTTCATTTATATTCATGTTCAGATAGAAATGGGAAATACATATAGAACAATGAATAATGTTCATACTTTGCAGCTGATGTCAGCAATATTTCCTGGGGGTGTGATGCTAACTGTAGGCTCTACGCTGTCTAAAGCTCTGTTATTGAAGTTAGACTTTTGTGATCAAAATAAAGCCCAGATTAAACAGGTATTCAATAAAGCATGAAAATTCATATTGATTACAGGCTCCTGAAAATAAGTTGTTTAAATCAGTTTTGGATATTTTCTTGAGATATAAAAACTTTTTTTGACAGCACTTGCTAATGTGTGCATTGTCACCATGGTAACTACTGAACATTCCACCAACAGAAACACATGTAGAGCACACCCAGCATGACTGAAATTGATAATTTTATACTGTTGATTGTCTAAAATATAAAGCTATAAAACTTGCAAAACAACACAGGGGGAAAAGTCTGTTGTGCAATTTATGTAATCTTTGGACCTCAATCAAGACATTCGCAGACATGTTTTAACACATTTTTTATGCATCGCAATTATCTCCCATTCCTATGTGTGATACTGCATCAACTCCTCTTTGTAAAGAGACAATATATTGTTGTACTTTCTAGTTCTACTACTACAAAAAAGTAGTTCTTTCATCATAGGAATGATAGGCACCAAAATAGTCTAAATACCATTATGCTCCATGTGCCCCACGTGCAATTTGAACTTAAGTGACAGACCAGACACCAGTGCCTGCTTGTCTCGATTGCAACACCTCTGAAATATGGAACAAATTTGACATAACTGATTTCATCTTATTTCATTATTTGCATCTCTCTTAGCTTTCACTTGTAGACCTTGATGACCCGATAGCTGCTTTATCAAAGAGTATGATAAGCAACTGGATCATTACTCTTCTGCTGTTGCATAACAATCTTACACAATTAGACTGAATAGACAAGGCAGTTAAAAGGTGCACTGTGTAACATTTCTAGTAGAGGGTCTGCCACCTGCTTGTCTCCATGGAAATGTTATTGCTTTGTTTAGAATGTTCCACAGTACAGATTAAACCCATCCTACATTAAACCTCTCTGTCAAAAGGGGGACAAAAATGTTACAGCATCACATTACATTACAATTCAGATCTGTTTAGAGTCACCCCTGTTCACAGAAGGAATTAATTTTGAAAGTACTTTTGTGCAATAGAAACACCTGTAATAAATAAATGCTAGATGGATATGTTTAAAGTCATACCATGAAACATTCCAGGCAAAGCAATGACACCCTCATCTCTATATCGACGTATCATTCAAGATATGAAAGCAGAAACAATATTTTTTGGGGGTCCGTATTTACTGTGTGTACATTTTCTTTGCATTACTGGGAGATTTTCGGTTATTTTGTGTATGTGATCTGTAAAAGGTTGAATTCAATCTGCTCTTGGGTTAATGTATCAGTGGCAAAAATTTGTTTCAATATTATAATTTATTGTCTATATTTACTTAGATAATCACACTTGACAGGCCTAAAGATAATTATAAATAAATATTACGGGTTGGTCTGCTTAATGGCAAGAATAAAATGCAGATTACTCAGATTAAATTGTAATTTGTGTAATCATTCATCCTCATTGATACTCATCGGAAGGGATTTACAGAGATTAGTGACACAGTGACCATTTACAGGGCCAGCAGGGCGATGGTGCAACGTCACTACGGGGAACAGTTCTACTCGACAACCTTTACCACAATTACGTCAAAGAGATAGTACGCCAATGCAAACATCCCTGTAAAAGAATAGTACAAATGCTCAACGTGAACAACCTCATTCCAAGTTTAACATCAAAAAAAAAGAAAGGAAACTGGCTGAGTTTCTGAACGCTTTGTCCCAATCTGCTTCCAAAGAATCAATAAAAATATGTGATGCCAACAAGGTCATAGTTCATTGGTGGGGCTGTAGCGTGTGAGAGGGGTGGTTTGGGCGCAGACCAGATGACTAATCCAGATTGGCAGAATACATATTAGGATGAGAGTGGATGCTTGACCCAGTTCAGTGTATATAGGATTGTGGTGTTTGCTCCCAGTGTATCCTGATGAAAAGCAGGAAAAAGGGCTCCAGGGCAGTTCTTTTTCATAATTGGACAAATAGGACAAACATTTTCTTGGGTTTAGCTTCCTGTTATAGGCAACATTTTGTTGTTATATAAAATTTTGTTGGACATCTTTGCTATGGCATTGGTTCTAATTTTTTAATCAATCTGAAACCCATTTATAGGAGATATAAATGATTGATTGTATTTAATTGAATTAACTGCATTTAATTTAACTAACCTTCATCAGCTATTCTTCCTGGAGATCTATGTAACATGTTGTGGGTTGAAATGAGCTGTGAGGGGTACAGCCAAGCAAAATAAGATCAACTGATGGTTATTTAATGATTACATTAAAAATAAAAATACTATATCCAAAGTTGATAGAGTACACCAAAATAGTAAAACCTCAGATCTAATATTTTTTGTTACTATTATATACTAGTGTTCCAGAGACTGAGCTTGAGAATCAGTTCAATGAAGAGCAAGTTTGCCACTCTGGTATGTTGAAGAGTTTGGCTGATAGGATAATATCACTATATATCACAGACTAGATGGGATTAAGAATCACACCAATTGACATTGTGGGAACAGCCTCATAAAACTGAAAGCTAAAACAGAGAGGAGACTGGAGAGAGACTTGCAGGTTGCGAGGATGAACAGAGCAGCGTCACAGCACAATTTTAGCCGTTTGCAGCATCAGTTCATGAACACTCAGCAAAAGGAATGCTGCTGAGGTGCAGAGGTCCAACATTATGCAAAACCCAACCCAATTTTCCTGTTTCATTATTGCAGGTGTTGTTCACGCAATGAGGGTATGTCCAATTATCTACATAACTGTACTGATCTACAAGATACAGTCAAGGGGAAAAGGTCATGTTGAACTTGGCATTTATAGTTGAACAGTTTTAGGAACAAAACTGACTGTTAGTTTCAGTCTGAGCCATATGATGAAGCAGCAAAAATGTAGTCGTACCAGGTTTTACACTGGAGACTCACTCCCTGCTGGGACTGTACAATAGGAAAGGAATGTGTTTACAGTGCCATAGAATTCAAAATACTGTGGATTTAATAGTCAAACATTAAAACAAGGATATAATAGTATCTTCTACAATCTGCACCCTAAACAAGAAATGCATTTAAAAATAAATATAATATGAGTTACACTGAGAATACTGAAATCTTAGTGTGTTCTGCATACAATAACTTCATATTTTGAATTGCAAGGTTTATATAACGTGATACATATTAAGTAGGCTATGATACCCCACATGGTGACGGGAGGGGGCAAGCGAAAGTCAGACCAGTGTAAGTCCTTGAGAGGAGGCTGCAACAAACCTGCACAAATCAATTTTTTTCTAGAAAGTAACATTATATGTAGCGTAGGCTAAGTTACCAGTTTTCCTGCATCCATTCAAAAGCCCTTCTCTCGTCGAAGCGTCGCTCAAAGTCGTACGCGTTCAGCTCGGTCTCGTTCATCTTTGTCGGATTCTTCTTCTGCGCTCACCGCTGGAACCGTTGGAAGTTTCTGGACAGAACTACGGATCGATAACTCCAACCCGAAGCAGCACAGGGAGACAGCGGCGTGGATGGTAGTTTTATATCACCGGTCTGTCTCAAGAAAAGAAGAGGGAGGATGCGGCACCAGACGCACTTCCCCACAGGCACACGTTTTTACCGGCGGTAAAGAGCAAATGCTAAACATGCTCCAATTTTTATCTGGCCCTTCAAAATAAACGTCATCAGATATAATGTCGTTTAATTAGACTTCAGAAACGTTCTATCCTGTCTGTATGTGTACAAAACATTTTCTATAAACTACTATAGCCAGGAGTAAGTGCAATTTTGCCTTTACGCACCATGAAATCAGGACGCAAATGTGCAGTTTTATTATGAAAAACAACAGAACTTCCTGTATTTGTGTGGCTGTTGGTGAAAAACTTGACGATGTGAGGGCACTTTCCTCCCGTGGCCCCGGCGATGGAGACCAGGGGGGAGGAGATTGTCTCATGACGTAGAATCGTCCAGGAAATCCATTAACGTCATTGGTTAAAACTTTCGTAATAGCACAACCCAAGCCCCTCCTATCATAAAATTTATGTTCTCGGGAAGAGTAGCCAATTGCAGTTGATTGGACATCATGATTACAACTGAAGCCTACACTCTTTGTAAATTATTCTTAAATACACTTCACCTTCAAATGGCTGCTAAAGGAAAACTTGAATCCAATATTTTTATTACCTATGCCTGCCGATTCTATTATGCTCACATGGTCTTATTGGTTTTATTCACAGTCCTTAGTCCTTATCATTACGCCAGTCGTTCGACAACAATATTACATGTGGGGTTGCTTATGAAATCGCGTGTTCCTTCTGTATTACATAGCAAGTGCAAAGGGGATTTAGTCATAAAATAGTTAGGTGTGCTCTTATGTAATAGCCCTAAGATACTGACCGTCGTAGGCGTGATTTGTAGTGAGAGACAATGGAAAAGAATGAGGAAACGCTTCCTCTTATGCGTCAATAGTTCAGGTGCATAACAGAGACATTTCAGCCTATTATAGAGACAAAAACTATCATTGAGTTGTAAAATTAAACTTTAAGTGTTTGAGTGGATAAGAGCAGCACAATGTATAAAAGTGTCTTTCAGGAGGTCAGGCTGACACGGAGTGCTTTGAAGAGCTCCTCCCCGGGCACAGCTGCTGCCCTCATCGCTCTCGAACATCTCAATAGCCCTCTCGTGCCCCTTGATTCACTTCTCCATGAAACGTAATCTGTGTTCTGACCACGAGAGGGCACTCTACAACAGCGTTTCATTTTTTTTTTTTTTTTTTACAATCAGCTAAAAAGTTCATAGGGTTTATGAGTGAGAAAGTAGTTTTGAGCTTAGAAATAAAGTTGACATTAAGCTGAAATTTTCATGGTTGTTTATAAATTTTTAAAAAGTAAAAATCAAATGTAGATCAATTGGTAGATGATCAAACACATGCAACTGTGAAAGCAATGATAATGCCAAATGCAACAATAAGCAATATTATTTAGCTGAGACAACATTTGCAAGTTCATTTGTTACACAAGATGAAAGCTGCAGGCCCAGGGGAACAATCAGAGGAAACACTGGGGCATATTAATGTGGACATGACTTTAATCATGCAGTAAATATTATCCCGGGGGGCATTGATATCGTCATTGCCAGGAAACACATGAATAAAACTGACAGATTATGCTTTACAATATACAATCAGGTAGAATAGCCAGGGTCATGACTCCCCTGAAAATCAGACTCCAAATCTAAGTGACTATTCTGGTAAAATTAATAATACAATATACACAAATGGGCTCTATGTCCAAATCATATGCTCGGCTGCATCTCCAGTGGCACAAGCTACTGTAGTACAAGGCCTTGAACAAGAGAATAGGGCTTAAAGGTGCACTGTGTAACTTTTTTGGTGGAGGGTCCGTCAAATGCTTTTGTCCATGGAGAATGAATCTTCATGGAGAACAAACCAGACTAAGTTACAGGTCAAATCTGTAGAGAGGCAACCCTGCTCACAGTCAGAATGTCTGTATTTCTTTTTTAAGTTATAAAACCATCTGTAATTGAATAAATATAAGGTAAAGCTGTTTAATGTCATACTGTTAAATATTCCAGGCCGAGCAATGACATATCCATAGAAACAAGGAGATGATGGACCCCCAATCAAAAAGTTACATAGTGCACCTATAAAAGTATCTCTTTGAAATTAAGTATTTTTGTCTGTAAATCCTATGCTAGGTTATAGTCTATCCTACTGCTTATACTTCTGTTGCTGTTTGATTTGCACCCTGCTATAGACCCATGAATCACAGACCAGGACAAGACTTGCTGCATTAACATTGGCTCATTTCATTATGTTTATATGAGTACTTTTGGTCTCTGATAACAACTCTGCTTGTTGTGATTTAAATAATTTGAGTAGATGAGATGTTATGAATTCTGAAAATATGCCAGAGGTGTTTAAAACCAAATGAACAATTTTATCAGACAGTTTTGGTCAATTGCATAAAATTTGTAATTAACTTTCAACAATAACAGGCTCATTGGGCAGTGAGGGCATTGACAACTGGCAAATGTTAAATAGGCCTATGTTTTGTTGAAAATATAACATATATGTATACAGGCTCTATATGTTCACTCATTTGTGTTGACTTCATTTCCACGCGGCCCTTGACGCACATGTTTATCTATTACCATATTAAAGATGAGTGTAAGAAAGTGTCTCAATGGCATTCCTCCCTCCTCTTGTTGAATAACTTACCTTAGTGTTTATGAGGAGGGTCGGACTGGGCATGCTCACAAAATGGGGAGGGCGCGAGGAGAAGACGGCTGCCTGGGAGAGGAGAGAGAGTGAAGCAGGAGTTGTGATATATCTCTCTGACTCTGTGAAAAAACACCGGTGAGGAGCTGTCCATTTCAGAACTGTTAAGCATCACGTTCGGCACAACCTGACGGTTTTACACGCCGCTCATTTTCACAGAAAAGAGAGGAAAGCTCACGGGTGGAAGACGCGGACGTACGTGGACCGCAGTGCCGCTGGAGTGCTCGCTACCTGCAGCACACGCCGATGCAACAGTATCTTATCATGTGCATTTATCACCAGCAACAAGACGCCACACTGCGATGCCATCACGCTGTTTGGTAAGTGGACACCTGTGCTTTTAATATCTTGTACGCAGTGATACCTCTGTATTAAGCTATGTTGATGAAGGAGATTCAAGTGCAAAACAACTTGAGCCATGTAATGACCTGGCAGACAGGCGGTCCAATCTACTGCATCACAGCGTCAGACCACTGAGATACTCGCGCAAAGGTCATTTTCTGCGCAGACGCCAGTGTCATTGACGCATCTGTGCGGGCCATTCTCAGGCAGAAATGCGTGAACAAGTTTTGCCCTTGACTGGAAAAGTTGGCGTCGGGCTGCTTTGTCAGAGCGATGAAATACGTGAGGGGAATTAGGATGCCTTACCTGAACTACAACAGCTGGGTATATGTAGTCTACCCAGTGGATTCGTCGGTTCGTTTTAAGATTTGTCTGAAAATATATCCAGTGTTTTACAAATGAGGAAAGTATGTTTTGTTTGTTCATAATTGCTTCATGACTTTTTGATGAGACTTGATGATGCAGTTACATCACTCATTAACAATGCTTTTCTTTATCTCTGTACATTACATCAGTTAATTCAGTTCATTGTACATTTAAAACAAGAAATATTTTCAACCAACAGAAACCTGGATTATGGTTTATATTTGATCAAATAGGGTAAGAACTATGCCCAGTTTTAGTTCAATGAGATTCATTTCTGATATTTTATGTTATTAGGTTCTTTTTACAGACCAAGAGTTTATTTTCATACCTGATCGTTTCGACTGCTCACTAGCACTCTTGCTCAGAGTGGTCAGCTGATGTTGCTGTGATGTGTCCGGTCAGCTGATTTAAACTATAAACTGGACTATAAACCAGGACGAGGGGGCTTTTTTACTCTCACACACCTGGGATACTGTCCCGAGGAAGTCGGGACAGTATCCCGACTTGATTGGTAGGAACAAAACGCCAAAACCTGTATAAATCAGCTGACCAGACACGTCACAACAACATCACGTGATCACTCTGATTAAGACTGCTCACTAGTGGTATGAAAGGTATGAAAACAAACTCTTGGTCTGAAAAAAGAGCCTAATAACATATGCTTAGTTTTGCTAATCTAGCATATCTAAAGTAAATTAGGTTTATAATTCAGAAACATAATCAAATACAGAATCTATCTGAACTACATCTTGACCATAGTTAGCACTAAACACCAGAACCCAACTCCCAATTTGGTGGTTTGGTTTCATTTTCTACAAAAACACCAGTAGCTCTGACACATTTGAGAACAACCGCCCTTCACTTTTTGGGACAGGACTCCTGTCACTGAAGACTGGCCTATTCACAGCCGTCATGCGCAGCTGGAAACATTTTGTCTTCATTTTCTCGCAGTTATAAATCCCCCCACTCCACTCTCACTTTCGGGGGGTTCGGTCTAGACATTACCCCTGGGTTGTTCAGGCAGCGGAGGTGGGGGTAGTAGAGCAGAAAGACTACGTACCTTTCACTGGTTATAAACACTCAGTCACACAGGGAGCCAGTGGATGTCTCACAGGAAATAGCAAGCTCCACAACAAGTATAATTGCTGTAATGTCTTCACCTTAGGATCAATGTCAGCTTTGCAAATTGGGCACGAGGCTAGGACCGCAGCGGCTTGTAATTAGTGGATAAATGCTCCATTGAGTGCATGCTGAAGTGAAGTCTTGATTTCCTGATAGCACAACATAGCACCACTGGGATCCTATCAAGTCTTATTGAAGCATTGCTATGGCTAACCTCACCTCTAGTCAATGCTGCAAGAAAACACTATTAGCGACTGAGCTGTTCTTCTGTCTATATCTGATTCGTCACTCGCCTTCTTTGAGCCTTTTCAATTTAAAGGGCCCATATTGCACCATTTCGGATCTATGTTATTAAGCTGTTTTCTCATTAAAACATACCTGGAGTTGTGTTTTGCTTTCATTCACACATGTTTAACACACAAATCATGGTCATAATTCATGGTCATAATCACACATATTTAGGCTCTCTGTTCCACCTTGTGAT